AGCACAAGGTGTAAAAAATAAACAAATCATTCATATGCAAAGTCATTTTATTGCATTTCCACTTTTTTGGAAGCGGGAAGATACGACCCGAAGCGGGAAGATATGCACCGAGGCGGGAGATATGACGGGAGATATGGAGGTTCTTGATATGGAAACCTCAAAATCAGGATACGGGATATATCTTACCAACTTATCTCCCTAAAACCCTACTTGGCATAGGATAAATCAAGATAATTTCTACTCGCATCTAGTCTATTCCACATGTTTGGGAAAAGTGTACAGGAAAATCTCCATGTTCAATTGATGTATGATCAACCCTCATAGGGGTCAATCCAGTTGTCCGAAACCCAGTTGTCCGAAACTCAATTCTCCGAAACCCAGTTGTCTGAAACCAAGTTCTCCGAAAATTAGGGGATCTTATCAAAAAATACAATTTCTTAAAACGAATCTTGTCGCAACCTCTGCGAATCACGACAGCATAACATTTGAATCACGTTGACATCATTGCAAAATTAGGCTAAATATGCTGAGTCAAGACGTTAATTAGCCCACGAAAGTTCATGGGTAACTTGAGAACTACAAAATACAACCAAATACTTTTCGAACGTACAATAGCAATATTTCTCACCCAACGTCTTCATAGTTTTAGGAACGTATTTTAAACGCATGATAGCCAAATATATCAAGATACTATATCTGCCTAAATGAAGTTATCTAGTGTTGACAAAGTTTTGAAATATATTTTATCCAGATCCATCAGAAATTAACTTATCCAATACATTTGTTCATAAGAATTCTTTAATTCTACCTCGTTCCCAATACGTCCTCAGACAGACAAGAAATTGAAGTCACACCCGTTTGTTTGCGTGGCATATTTATACGTATACGCACTTTCTCTGATTATTGTCAAACAAATACATTTCAGGAGAAGAACATAAAAAACAAATGCCTGAAACGAATGCCGAAACATAAATCCCAAGTGATTAAGTTTAGAATGTTTTATTCTTTTACGATTTGATAAGAGACTGAGACTAAGAAATTAAATGCGACGAAATATTTTGACAACGTAATTTGTATACTGTTTTATTCTTAAAGTTCTATACCTTATTTTATCTGTTTCAAAATGTTTCATTTTATTTTGCCTATATAAAAGAGATTGAAGAAGATAAGATAAACTGTTCCGTAATATATATTGTGTTTTAATAACCTTTTTTAGAATCACAATGTAAAATAAATCTCCCGTTCCTGCCATTCTGGTAACGCCATGCAATGGATGCAATTCAAAGTGAGAGAGAGATCTATGAATATCAGAATGCGTCCATGCCATTAATTTGGCCAAATACATGGCATGAAACTGACGTAAGCTTAAGTAAGCTACGCCCCCCCCCCTCTCTCTCTGGTAAATTATGACTTTATTTTTCGGAGTAATGGGTTTCGGACAACTGGGTTTCGGGGAATTGGGTTTCGGACAACTGGGGTGTCAATATATACGAATCGAATGTATTCTCGTGTGCATTACAATATCCCCATTGAAACATTTTTGGCCTGCAATGGACGTATAATGAATTAGAATATGAGGCCGTGTTATCATTCTAATGTAAAATCATGGTATTTACTGTAGTATTGGGTCGCAAGTTAATATCAGATTCAATGCAAATTAATCATCTAATATCAGATGCGCGATCAGTCCAATAATCTAATTTCAGGTCATCAGTTCGATATCTAGCACTTGTTCTAACGACACGGTATTACTAGACTATCATATTATAAATACACACACATATAAAACAATCAAACTGGTACACGATATATGCACGACTGCTCTTTCAATTGAGTATAAATGTTGATAAACTTACCCGGAAGCCAAGACATACACGTTTAGACGATGCTATTTTCAGTTCAGTGTAAGAGTAAATGCCCGGATATCGAGGCTTTTTCGTGTAAAGTTTTAACCAAGCATCTAAAATCGGGTTATATTGCGTGTAGAATTTATCGATATCAGGGCCGCTACATGCCAGTGGTATTGGGTGATGTCTCACATAACTCACTAAACGCTTCCTTAGATCACAATGGTCTGTTGTCCCAATATTTAAATGCTCTAACTGTTGTGCCAGTGCTTCAAAGAGGCAATCACCTTTACCATTATTTTCAACAATTTGTAAGCCATGTTTCTCAACCACGGTTGAAAGAGGTTGATGAACACCGTGATGTAATGCTGTAGCATCAGTTGTATGTTGACGCATGAATGCTTTCATGTGCTTTAGCATTGACGCATGTAACGCTGTAGAATTACCTTCTGGACAATTCCCTGTATAAAAATAATAAAAGCATAGCAGGATTATTTCTATAAAAAAAACTCACAGTTCTTTCTTACCATAATATTGTAGAACCCATCTTATTTGATGGCAATGACATGGATATGTGTCGCCAATGGTGTAGCCAAGATCTAAAACCTAACAAGCTAAAATCAAAAGGTCAGTTTAAGGTAAAGGTGAAATAATACTATCATTGAACTTCATTTTAACAGCTTTGAAAGAAAATAAGGAAATATTTTTCCGTAAAATGTTGGTGAGGCTGTTGCTTGTTTCAAAAATTCAGTAAACCCTGTTGTATTTTATATAACCACACTCATAAATTAAGGTTTAAGTTTTTTCTACATTCTGTGTAATTCTTAAAGTGTGCATTTACCTGTTGTTTTATCACCTGTCAGAGGACCTGGATTTGTTTCCAGGCCTCCAATCACCAAAAGTAGTGTGAGAACCAACAGTAATTTAAACGGTGGCCTGCATCCTGGAAGGCCAACTGGCAGAAATGATTTACAAGATTTCTTGTTCATACTGAATGTTCCAATGGCTGCTCTATATTGGCATAGACTATTTCCCATATTTTTAAAACATAGTTTTGTGTTCCTTTCTTTGATATACCTTTTTATCTCATCAGGTTTTCTTACTTATGCAATTATGTCAATCAGTGTGAATGTGCTATAAAAATCTAAAATTTGAGACGCTATTATAATGTTGGACCCTTATCTCCTTTGTCTTATGACTAGATTCAGTTTTTTGTTTGATAGATAATGTTTGCAAAAGTTAATGATTGATTAGATGATAATAGAGTATAAACCGGGTCAAATTTATTGTTCTAAAGTAGACATGACCTAATTTGTACTACCAGTAATACTTTTTTAATAAAAATAGGAACTGTCACTTACATGATTCAAACCTTATTTTCATTAAATATCAAAGCTTAAAAAATCAGTTCAGACAAGCAGTGCTCATCAAGGAACTATCCCAATTGAAAAATAAAACTAATTACCAACTTATTACCAACTAATTTACAACTAATTATCAACAATTCTGCTGGCAATTGGAATTAAAGTTAAGCGTTAATTAAATCAATGATAATTATGGCCTAATTATCAGTAGCAAGTTCAACGTAAATTAACTTACAATAATGCTGATTTATGATTTTTAGTTGATAATTAAGAAATGAAATGTTTGAGGGTGATAGTAAGTGGTAAATTAAAACGTTTTTGTTCTGAAGTAGATTATTGGTTGATAGTTAACATAAAGGATGATTATAATGATAATTAGTCGTAAATTAGGCCCATGATTTAGAAATACAAACCCCCTAAATTTAATTTCAAGATGGTGGAAAAAGAAAACATGTGAGAGATATTTCTCTCATAAAATTGAGAATTACAACGTGAATGGTGCGTATACTACCATGAAATTTGGTCAACATTATTATAAGGGTATGTAGAACATGAATACAATGTATGTTAAATCTTATTCACACTTCTGTCTGAAATGTTTATGAATTAAAAAATCTTATTGAATCAGATCATATAATATTAATCCTAGAATGCAATTTAGGTACTAACATGGGTTACCTATATATTTCACAAGTAATCCAAATGTGCTCTTCTAAATAATGATTGTTAGATCAAAGACATTTCAAAACATATTTTTGATTATATCTGTTACGTCCTTTTTATGTAACATTATAGTCTAATGTTAGTGTTCTGATTTTAGTTGTTGATGGCAATAATGATGTTTTCACATGCTTTTCATGAATCTTAAAAATTTGCAAAATAGAATAGCTTTAAAAAAGAGGGGGAGAAACTCCAGGGTTCAAAGATGACATACGCTTATAATGTAAATCTGTATTGAGATGACATCGTCGCTGATTGGTTTAGCGAGTCGATCGTTGATTGGTTTAAAACTAGGTCAATTTGAAAACTTTGAAAACCAAGATGGAGGGTACGTTTTCGACAAAAGGAGGTGTGCGAAGGAGGAAATCGTATGTCATCAATTGAATCATGGGGTTTTCCCTCCTATTGCTGTGAAATTTCAATAGTTCAAGTTCAATGTTGTCTGTTCTGAAAGATCCTAATTAAGATGAATATTCCGTCACAAAATAGTTCAAGATGAAGCAAAAATCTCCGAGTGAAGAGAAGCAAAAAAGAAGCAAGTCGTTTTTTAGATGTCACAAATCTGACCTAACTTTCAACTAATTATCAATAGTAAGTTAGGTGATAATTAGAGATTAACTTACATCAAACTTACAACTAACTTTCAACTAATTTACGTAAATAGCTCATTTGCATATTGATGGTAGTTAATCGTTAATTAAGTTGCAAATTAAGCGTTAATTAAGTTGATAATTAGCTCATTTGCATGTGAATTTTTACACCTAACTTTCAACTAATTATCAATAGTAAGTTAGGTGATAATTGGAGATGATTTTCCATAGGCTTTTTTCAATTGGGATATTATCAAATAAATATCCCTCCAGATTAATAAATACATGAAATTGGGTGAATTTGCAGTTCTAGGTTTATGTATGTGCTGATATGAGGAATATCAATGCTAGCAGTACATAGATACTGAGATTATGAACAAACAACTGGGGTAAAATTTTCTACAGAAATAAAAAATGTATGTACTGCAACATTATATATGGTTTACTAAGTAAAATATTCTTCAATCATTTTTTTCCAGGAATAATTACCTTAAAACAACTGGACAATCTGACAAAATAGAATCAAAATGGAGGACAACTAATACATTGGATTCTGAGCAGACGACATGACAAGCAATATAAATCTGGCTTTATGACAAGCCATAGAATAGCATAATGGAGAGCTGTGATTAAGTCTTTCAGTCAACAAATACACAAATATAATAACCATATGTGTAGCATTTATTTAGAACAGTAAAGATGTAAGAGAGAGGCGTCTCTAATGACTGAGAGTGAGTTACATTTGCTGACGCCCGGCCGTTTTTGGTCAGATTTGCATTCAGTTTTGAACAAACTACTCAATCGGCCTGGCGCTGACTGATGAATCAGAGCAAATGTGACCTAGGCATTTGTGATAAAAGAACCATACAGATTCATTAACACTAGAAAACAATGATTTATATATTAATTAATGTATGCCCCGAAAATTGTGTATGGAGTGCAACACAAATAAAATAGTTTTCATGGATACATTACACATGTTACATAGTTTTTTAACAAGGAAAAGGATGAGTCTGGGAATGAGTCTGGGTATCAACTTAGAAAATATTGAAAATTGTAATGTCTGAAAAACCAACTCAATCACACATATTATTAAACTTCAATATCTTATCCTTCTTCTGAGATTACTAAAATATCAATTTGTATCACAATTGATGAAGAATATTGGCATCAAAGACAGTGCATATCACTTTGTAAGAATTGAAAAAAAATCAATGGCAAATATTTAATGAATTATTTATACAAAAAGTTTGAAACATATCCTCCAAAACATTGCTTATTTTCTTTGTATAGACATTGAATGGTATTTCTGGATAAGTGAATTTGTGTTTATCTGGGTAATCAAGGGATTATAGTCACTCAAAGTTACTGAGCATCCAGTTTTGAGACTTCAATTGTGTTGGTGAAGTTACACATATTTCAGTCAAATTCATGCTGAGCACAACATTTTGGTTTCAATTTTATAATCCCTATACATGACCCTGGTGATGAAGAGTCAGATTCAGTCAAAAAACCCAAACCGGAAAACTGAAAAAAAATTTAATCCTTAAATATATTTCAAAAATATGATTTTCTTTTTAATTCTTCATGGGTCTTAAGTTATTTCTTCTTTGTATGTCATACATGTTGCCATTGGTGTTTTTTTCTATGATAATGACTATTTTTTGTTTGTTAGGCTACTTATTCTGACTCTCAGCAGGGGGCTAATTATGCATCAAAACTCATGAAAAAGTAAATATACTTATCAAATATAACTAGGACAGTAATAAAAACCATATTTCACATGCATTTGACTGAGGGACCAAAAGGGCATATACCCAGACACATCCTTTCTAATTTTATTAGTTTTTCACTAAAGCTGATTTTCATGGTTTCCAAGGTACTAAAATGGATTTAAGATTTTAAATAAAAAACTTCATACCTTGTACCCATGTATGTGGATTGTGATACAGTCTTTAAAGGGTTAAATTTTTAAAGTTTTAAAAGATTATTCAATCTTAGTTGATGATAACTTAGATGTATTAATTAAATGCACTCACAGTATTTGTACCGTGAAATTTGTCTATCTGGTTCCAAATTGAATGTTGGGGAGAGTAGTACACCCATAAAGACATTACAATATAATCTAAATGTGGAACACCTTTAAGACGACTTCTTAGATAGAATTCCCCAGCAAATAAAAAACGATTTGTGGTGTAGATGGCTTCTATAGTGAACTTGCATTTCATTTGAGTAATTTTGATGAAGGATAAAATAGCAAAGATAAACAATTTTGCAATTCTGGCCTTATTTTATGACTAGACAAATGTTAGATCTATAAGACATACATGTAGGCCTATGAGTGCATTAATGCATTTACAACTCAGTACAAGAGATGGAATGATTTTGGTATTTTAAAAATTGAACCCTCCAAAGACTTTACCATGTTCCACTAGGTACAAGGTTTTATACAAAGCCTAAAGATTTGGCCAAATTAATGGCATGGACGCATTCTGATGTTCATAGATCTCTCTCTCTCTCTCTCTCTCTCTCTCTCTCACTTTGATCCATTGCACGCGTTACCAGAATGGCAGGAACGGGGGATTTATTTTACATTGTGATTCTAAAAAAAGGTTATCAAAACACAATATATATTACGGAACAGTTTATCTTATCTTCTTCAATCTCTCTTATATAGGCAAAATAAAATGAATCATTTTGAAACAGATAAAATAAGTTTACGCATATAGTACTTTAAGAATAAAACAGTATACATATTACGTTGTCAAAATGTTTCGTCGTATTTAATTTCTTAGTCTCTGTATTTTATCAAATCGTAAAAGAACAAAACATTCTTAACTTAATCACTTGGGATCAACTGGAAACGAAGGCAGGCTGTCCTCGTATCAAAATGGATGTTCTCCCATTCGAAAGAAGTTTCATTTTCGCCATGTACTCACTTCATCCTTTTAATTTAATCTCTATTTCTCGAACAGAGTACGTAAATGAAGAATAAGTTTTGGTTTCAAAAAGATGTACACGTCAACTTTACTAAATAAATGCCCACTGGCTTGGGAAAGCTATTTTTCCTTTTATGAACGCTAATCACCCATTGGAAAATTGTTGTTCCCTCTCAAAAAAGGCCCATGGGCCATAAAGAAGATTGGTTTAAAAATTGTAGACCCCTATCTATGTATGTTGTGTAAACGCCATTTTACAATGAGAATAACATAATTTAACTTTGTTTGTTTGAACATCTATATCACCTGTATATGAACTTTCGTAGGCTAAACATTAAACAATTAACGTCTTGACTTAGCATATTTAGCCTAATTTTGCAATGATGTCAACGTTATCCCAATGTTATGTTGTGATTCGCAGAGGTTGTGACAACGAGATTCGTTTAAAAAAATTGTATTTTTCAAATAAGATCCCCTTATTTTCGGAGAACTGGGTTTCGGACAACTGGGTTTCGGAAAACTGGGTTTCGGAGAACTGGGTTTCGGACAACTGGGTTGACCCCACCCAGCATATAATGTTTATCTTGTGCCAATCCCTAGATCCAAGCAAGGGACTTGATGGCTTGATGCTACTACTGACTTCTAAATGCACATTTAATTGGGAAGATAGATCCAATAAAACATCATAGGGATTTCAAGTTCTTATAATTTGAAGTTTACATTCCATCTTTGAGATCGGTATTTATTAATTAGCTGTAAAGCATTGTTTTAGTATGACAGCAATATACATGATTTGATTGGTTGTTGGCTTTCTCTGGGCACACTTCACATACTATGGTTGTTTACATTGAAATGCTTTCTGATTGGTCAAACGTCAGAGCTGGGAGGTTTTGTTTATGAGTTGATTGACAGATTTGAATTTCATTTTCACTGATCAGATTTTCTGACGCTAAGACAAAGAAGAGGTACTTTTCCATGACCCCAGATGAACTCCCCTTGGCCAATCAATGATCTAGTTTACATCAGAGAAGTGTGCATCTATGAATTCTGGGGTATTCCCCTTTCCTTAAAACAAGTGAAGGATAAAATTGATTTATACATGTACAGGGCCAGGGGTATTCTCATATAAGTTGAACTATGTAAAGTGCAAGTGTAACTGAGCAACTCTTTGCAAAATTGGTAAATATTGCTTCAAATCATGCAATACTTGGCTCAATCTAAGAGTGTGGGTGGCCAAAATAACTACTGGGTAAAATAATAGGTAGCTTTTCTTAAAAATCAGGTAGTTATTAACTACCATAGCAACGATAGTTTCGAGGCCTGTCAGTTTTAGTTCTAATTAAATCATTGGGTTGTGGCCATAATCATAAAATCACACAATATTTGGTTAATTTGAGACAAATGTTATAGGACATTAAGGTACCGGTTGCTATAGTTACCACATTATGACATCACACTCAAGTAACTGCAATGTTAGATTTCTACTGGTTGCTTTTTTGATTTGATTAGCTCTCATTGCGTGTTGTAATTAGTTCACTAGATTCCTCAGAGTTTAATATACAAGTCACATTTATAAATAGTTTGTCTTTAATGGTTCAAATGTAGATGAGCAATAATTTTTGAAACAAAAAGTTCAGCGCAAAAGTACAGCACAGTGCATTCACTGGAAATGGCACATCAACTGTTTTATGAATTGATATTTCAATGGAAGCTAGCCAACTTGTACATTGTCCAACAAATACTTGGCATACCTAAGGTCACACTCATTGAGGTCATTTGTTAAGATGGTTCTGAACATGTTACTTATACTACTTTTAGTGTTATATACAATGATTTACCCCCCCCCCCCATGATGATAATTTTGATGTTATAACTCATCATCACCCTCATCATGTAGTGTCTGGTTGCTAACAGGAAGCTCACGACCATTGCGTTGGTTGCTATGGGAACCACCCATTCTTCTATACACCGATGTACTTGCTAGATGTATTGATTTACGCTTTACACAGCGATAGAGCAAGTATCCAACTGTCACTAGCAATGCAAGAGAGATCAAAACTCCAACGATGATACCTGGTATGGAGACGCCACTGTGAGAGCAATGAAGTGAGCTGTCATCCAGATTAAGAATATTCTGCCCTTGTACTTCTGGAGGGTTAGCACATCTGAAAATTTAATTGAAGTAATAAGTTGTATATTTTTTCTTTTTGGAAAATCAAGTACAAAAAACTGTCTAATCCTAATGCCAATGAGACCAGTGTGTGTATGGATTAGCAGGTTTTCACATTTCAAGTAGAATGTGAATCGATGGGAGATTACAAAATTGGGACTGAGCAAACACGTATTCACGGTGAGAGGAGTTTGGATTAGAGAGATATTCAAATATACAGGTTTCACTGTACAAATGTTGGATCACATTCTACCATTGAGCGACAAAAATGTACAAGATGCAACAAAAACAAGGCAAATATGTATAGTGGTTTGAAAAATTGATGTCTAGCCTAACTTGTAGAGATGTTCATTCATGTATATTGAGAAAAGGTTAGAAAAACACTTTAACATACATGATGGAGGTGCTATTATCAATAACTGCTCTAAGGGACTTCATCCACACTGTTTTGCAGGTACATAACCAATGGTTGTCATCTAATGTCACAACATGCAGCTGTTTCCATGGTAATTGTATAGGATTCAACTCAGCAATATTGTTGTTATGGAGATAGACCTCAAGTAAACTTTCCCAGGGGTCAAGAAATAAATGGTACCAAATATGGCTCAATTGATTGTTTTCTAAATGCAGCAGTTTCAAATGATCCAGTCCCCAAAAGGCTGAATGTGGTAAAGTTATTATCTCGTTGTCGTCAAGGTATAATGTTTTTAAATATTTTAAAGTTTTGAATGGCTCATGTGGAATCTCTGTCAGTTTATTCTGACCAAGATTCAGAATGTCCAAGTCGAGTCGTGTATTGTTAAATTTTGGGACTGCTATGAGTTTGTTATCTCGTAGGTTTAACTCTGATAGCACAGTCAGATTCGCAAAGGCACCGTCTGATATTGATGCAATTGAGTTTTTGTTTATTTCTAAAATTTTTAACTGGGGTAAATAAAAGAAAGCATGGTGTGGTAGTGTTTTAATGGAGTTGTTTGTCAGATATAGCTCCTTGAGATGCGTCAGCCCAATGAATGTATCCCGCTGAATATCTGTTATAAAATTGTTTCTCAAACTTAGTACTGTTAAATTTGAAAGATGCCCAAATGCATAGAGCACGATATTTAAAACATTATCACTCTCGATGTATAAATATTCCAGTGTGTCATAGCGAATCGACGTTATCTGGGAAATGTTGTTTCCATTTATTATGAGTTTCTTCGGATGTGTTTTCCCGGGAAGACACGTTGGGATTGCCTTGAGGTTTAAATTGTTGCATATCACAGTTGGAAGGTTATCTGTGACTTTATATACGCAACCACTTGGGGGAGCTGGTTTACATCCATCATCATTGCCGCTTTGAGAACTGTCTGTTAGTAATAATAGTGTTGCTATGGTGACTAGTATTCCTTTCAGTACCATTTTGTGTTGTCCCAGAGCTCATCCACTATATGCATAGCAAGTGTAGAAATATCTGGAAATCAGTTTTCATCAAACATAATGTACAAATATGACAGGGCCATGGTAAAATGTACTAAAGATTATTATATACTGGAAAACCTGGGCCTAATATGTATGACAAAATCAATAGTTTCAACCAACCTGTGCACATCAAATGCTATATTACCATTTCATGAAAATCAGAAATACCTCTCATGTTATTAAGTGTATCTATACATTATATATATGAAAGGAGAAGTCAAAAATCTTACCCTCTCTGTTTTTTGAGTGTACATTGTACAGTATCAACATAGTGCTGCCATTGTATATGATGTTGATAAGTGTACACACATTGAATTGTATTAATTGTCTGTGTTGTTGTATGAATGCTATGTTTAATGTAGTATCAGGTGTTTACAATTCACAATGCACTTTATATGTGTAATTCTGTTCATATGAGTCATCTAATCTGGCTTATCTTTGGTTTGTTTGCATTTGAATAGGCATAGTCACTCTACTATACCTAACACCTAGAAATGCATAAGATACTTTGTTTGTCTAATTGAATTTTTTAATATATTTTTGAAAGTGCCTTAGTAACATCTAACATTCAACCGATAAACCATTAATAAGGAACAGACAAATAAAAACAAATACATAATCATTACTAATTAACCAAGTGGGTTGCTCATGAACACCAAATGCAAGGTATAGTAGAGTGTAGTAGTCCGGACAAAAGTAAAAAATTATATGTTTGACGTACAAGACTGAAGGCATTTACCAGCTAATTTCTATAAAATTTGTTAAAACATGAGCTGTGAAACAATTGTTCATCAAAAGTATTTGCAACCAAGAATTATCACTGTTGTTTAAGAAAACAAAATAAAAAAAATCACTGTTGTTTATAACTTACTCCTGGCTACTAATTTACTATGTACATGATGTAAGCCCCTGAACAAAACATATTTTTTATTTTTGGACAGTGCAGTTTTAAAAAATGTTGAGTTGAACCAAATTTTCAAAAAGGGCCCAATATTTTGTACAGGAGGCTATTTTTAAAAAATCATTTTTGAAATGGTAAAAACATTCTATAGTGTTTCATAAAGTGTTAACTGTCCAGGTCACCTTGCTCTTACATATTTCAACACGCTCTAGACATTTATTACATGTACATGTACTTAACTTTTATATTTTAAACTAAAATCGAGTATTGAGTCAACAAGAAAAAGTGTGTGCTTATTAATCATTGAATTTAAAAACCTACATATGTATGAGCCAGGTCAAAATGTTTTTAATAGAAAGTAATATAAAGGTTAATTATACCTACAACTTGAATGTGGTTAGATCGTTACTAATATACTGATAGCATGATTTTTTATTAAAATGGCTCAAATTTGAGTTACTTTTCAATATACCAAAAATTGTATTACCTAAAAATTCATGTTTATTTATGTATCTAATGATATTCTAAAGCCTAAGCTGAAATGAGAAAAATGTTAACACTCCACATAGAATACTTCTAAACTTGTCATACAAGGCCTTGTACTTGTGTCCTTATAGAGAATCATTTCCATATAATACCATTACTTGTTTCATTATTTCCTTCAAAGCAGATTAAATGGTTTCTTCACTCACCTTTTATTAATAACTTAATTGTTTGTTTGTTTGACTTCTTCATTCATTTATCTATTACTTATCACTTATTTTACTGTTTTCATAGATTTGAGGCTTCCTTCATAACATATAAGAATTTTAAACTGACATTTCTTACCTATTATTATCACCCTATCTTGTCCAGTTTGAGAGGTTATTTCACACATCACTTGTCATAGCTCAATATTGTTACAGTGAAACGTTCTGCAAAAATTGAGTTAAAACTAACTTAAAGGAAAGACTGATAACAGTTCAGATAACACTTAACTATGTTTGAATTGAAGAAAAATATGTAACGTGACTTTCTACAATGATTTTAAAACATAAAAGATGTTTACAGAATTTTATGTTTTACAATTTTGCTGAATGATAAAAGTCAGTTTTCCTTTTATTGTTTGGTTACCATGACAACTTGTTTTATATTTTCTTATGAGCGAAATTTCTATTTAAAAAGGGGTTGACAATGATTAAATACAATCTTAGTCAAATAGAACTTGTCTAACGCTCAGCTATAATGTATTGCCAACATAAAACATTGTAACAGCGTTACTGATTAGATAGTACACATCTAGAAAGAGTATGTACCTAACAAATAGAATGGAGGGATTGGCAAGCCATACAAACTCTGCAATCTTCAGCTGTCCATAGATTATTTCAAGGGCAACATCTTTACATATTACACTCCCCTCCATAAGTTTGGCAACCTTTTTTCCCCATTGAACTACGTGTTAAAGCCTCTTTACCTTTGAATTTTTAGGTTGCCAAACTTATGGAGGGGAGTGTATGTAAGGGAGATTAGGCTATATTGTACATTTTTAAAGGAACTTGTACATGAATGTGTGGAATAATGGTCCTTTAGGATGAATTCTCCCCTTTGTAATATGTCTGATTGAGGATAAAGGTATAAAGAAAATTGTTAAAATTAGTTCCCTGGAAAAACAAATTGAAACAGTTCATATTCTTCATCCTTTGCCTCCCCTTTAATTAGAAATACATGTACATTAGAAAGTGTACTTACTACCCAACCCCATTGATTAAAAGCAATAAATATAATGAAATTGACAGCCAATACATCTACTACATGTACAAGGGTGTTAGGTAAAAACATTTATTTCCCCTGGGCTTCCATTAATCAGTGTCCTAATACCTCAAAGTGTCATTTATTTCTAAAAAAAAAGCAATTCGTACATCTTAAATCAAAGATGGTGGCACAAAAGGCGAAAGGGAAGTAACTTTTTGAAAATACATTCTAAGGATGTTGGACCAAGGGTTGGGGAGTATTACAAAATTAAAGGCCTTTGGTGAGATTTTGTATTTTTTTAAGATAATGTACCAACATTTTTCTATTAATATAAGCCATTTGGCATGATTGAGTGACTCTTAAATTATTGATCAAATTAAAATGGCATTTCCTTTAAAATGGTACATCATATGTGTACTTATGGTTATACTGGTTATATTTGAAGTGAATATTTTCAAAATATGTCTAGACAATAAATCAATCTTACCAACAATAAAAGGAAAACGGGAAAGATTCATAAAACAAAATTTGAAGGAAAAATTAAATATATCTGAACTTGAAAAAGAAATGTTCATGGATTACTTAAAAGCAAAATCAGTTATGCAAGATAGTCAGTGTAAAAAACTGTATGGAAATTCTAAATTAATACATCGATCTGATGTCACTTTAGAGCTTAATTTCACATCGAAATCGCCACAAATATTCTGGTGGGGGAATTTTTTCAATGATCCGCCACCCATTGAGAAAAATCAGGAGGCATTAGACAAAAATTGCCCGCAATATGGTTGCACTTTTACGAATGATTTAGCTTTATATAATGATAGTGAGGCTGTAATTTTTCATTTGCCTGATCTGGAGGACATGGAAATGCCATATATGGCAGTGGGACAACGATGGATTTTAACAGTATGGGAGAGTCCCATTTCTTATGAAATTCCTGCAATACATGAAATAAAGGATAGATTTAACTGGACAGCATCGTACATGCATCATAGTGACATAAACATGCCTTATTATACATACAGAGCACTCAAACAGGATGAGAAATCCAAGGAAACAAAATTGATTGATTTTTACGCAGGAAAGAAGAAAAAAATACTCTGGACCGTCAGTAATTGTCTAGCTGGGAGTCAACGTAAGATAGTAGTCAGAAATCTAAGGGAGCTTGGCTGGGAAATAGATATTTACGGCAAATGTGGCAATCAGAGTTGCTCATTTGGGAGTAAATGCGAGAAATATTTGGGATCAAATTATATGTTTTATTTAGCCTTCGAAAACTCCTTATGTGTGGATTATATAACAGAGAAGCCTGCCAGAGCATTAAAATGGGGGACAATACCCATAGTGTATGGTTGGGGTAATTATTCCACTATCCTACCGCACCATTCGTACATCGATACAAAAGCATTCGAAAGTGTAGAAAAACTGAGCGAGTTTATGCATCAGGTAGCAGACTCCAGAGACCTCTATAATAGTTTCTTCAAATGGCGGCAGAATTTCATACAGTCCATGTCTCCGGGCCTAGCGTGCAATATATGCAAAAGGCTGTACATGGATCACACTGTACAACACTATACAAATATTCAACTATGGTGGGATGTTAATAAACTATGTAGAGTATTCTGGGAAGTGATGGGACTTGTCGAAATGACAAATGAAAAGACAGAATCAGAGACATAGAGGTAACAAAATTACAAGCAAATGTTCAGTTGACCTTAGGAATTGGAAGAAAAACAGACAAATCTATATTTTATGTGCGTGATTATATTTTATCTATGAAAAATATTAAAAAAAACATTATTTTTTTAGCTAAGCTACCCTTAATATTCAATTCATTCAAAAAATTACTTTAATAATACATACTTATATTATATATGAGTATATGTGCAACTGTTATGGACTAATACAAACATGTTATTTGTATACATGTACCTAATTAATTCATGTGTTATTTGTAAATACATGTGTTATTTTTATACCTGGTAAATACATGTTATTAGTATACCTGGTGAATACATGCATTATTTGTATTCCTTGTAAATACGTTATGATTTGTAAGCACAAAATCATCCAAAAATTATAGTTTAGTAATTTGTGGTGAATCCCTGACTTTTATCACGATGAGCCTGCCTTGAGTTGAGCATTAAGGTAGAACCACATGATGAGAAATTTTATGTAATTTTCACATTTTTTCACATTTTATATGGATATTTAGAAATTATGGTATATTTAACATTGAAATGACATTTCCCTAAATTTTATTCAATTTTATTTATGAAAGTGCAGAACTACCTTAAGCAAGGCAAATAGATGATTGTTGTGTATATTAATATCCTAAATTGATATATTGCTCATACTGTTGTCTTGTAGCTATCACAGCACATGTAACATGATATCTTTATCATTGAGAAATATGTCCGATATCAAATTTCAAATATTTTGTTGTATCTGAAATGCTGCCTTAATATATGAATGTGTAAATTATACTAGTCTTAATAAAACGTCACCATATCAAACAAATACTGTATTCATAATTAATTGGGTGATACTTAATTTCCATGTTGGAAATATTCGGCCTAGATATAACTTTTTGATTGGATTTGCTGATCTGAACCGAATCTTATAGTTGGTGTCCAAAGCATTTCACGATTAGCATCTTCCTTATGATAAACACTATCAAAATAGAGACAATTGGCAGATGAGTTCCAAATGGCTATTCCTGGGGATATTGGTATTAATTGAATTTTTCAATATTCTTAAAATTGCCAAATTCATAAAAATGCACACCAAATAAATTACAAATACAGTACACAAACCTGGCACCCCAATGAACCAATATATGTCACGTTTCATTTCATAAAGTGTCATCATTATGCTGTAGAAAACATTGATATAAAATGTGACAATTCACTCTGACGATTGCCCCACAATTAAAGGCAATGAATGACATTTTCTAAAACATATAAACTATGCTAAGATAACAGATCTTTTTAACGTTAACTGATAACATAAGCAATTTAAAGAGTAAAGAAAATATATTTTTAACCAAATTTACAATATACGTAAATTCTGACAGTATAGCTAATTGGCACATGAATCTATAATCAGATCGGTTCAAAGATGGCTTCTTATTTCATTAAAATTAAATAGATAACTATTCCTTTTGTTGTAAATAACTAGTTAAGATTGTAGTACTCTACACAGATACAATTAAAGATCAGACATGTCAGAGTGTTCCTTGCACTCTTTGACCAGAGGCCTTACAAATTGTAATAAAAAATGTTGGCAATAATTTGATAAGAACAGGTAACAAGGCTTTATAGACACCCTGTAACAAATAAAACTTGGCACACAGCGAAAATATCACATTTAAAAATGAAAATATTCCATAAAAATCATAAATAGCACTCTAAAATATCACTCCTCTTGTTTTCTGTGTCTGCAGACAGCAGACTTGGGGAATCTTGAATTTTAATCTTTTTCACAGAATTCCGCGTAGACTTGCAAATTTTTTGAAAGTATGACAAAGAATGAGCAAATACATTTGTATTGTCATGAATTCATTCAAGTATATTTGTCTCTTTCTTCACCCAAAACTGCAGAGCAATCCCATGGTTTTTAAGAGGAATCTGTCTTCTTACAGAATTCACTTGCAGAATTTAATTTGCAAAATTCATCATTTTAACTTGCAGAAAACAGAAAGGAGTGAAATATGACAACTTCTGTTAAAAAAAACTCAGACTTGTGCTTTGCAAAGCTTAAATATGAAACTCACTCAAGCTGACAACAAAATGTGCCTACATATAGACGAAACTAATTCTTGTTAAAGTTCCAATAATGGTTTTGCCACCTGAGTATATAATGAACATTATTATATCTACATGTATTTGATTCATTGACAACAAGAAATGGTTAAGATTAGAACTTTTCCATCCAGTTGTAAATAATCCTGAGAGATCAAGTGTCATTGATTTCATTTACATAGATTCAATTTCTTAATTTTTGAATATACTCTGTACCAATCTACATTCTTATATATTGGTCCGGTGATTCTTTTTGTTTCTGATTGGTTCCATTTCATTGTAAATAATTCCATTTCATTAATTGAATAAACACACATGGTTAAATGAACTGTTTTATAAAAAATAAGTTGACCAATCAGATCCTTTCAGTAATTCCTCTCTTCAAATGAGTCAGAACTCCTCATTTAGTACATTACATGTATTAAGCAGAGAACTAAGAGAAGCTTGATCATGGGTCAGATCAGTTCATCCAATTCCTTTGACCCATAGTTTGAATGTCCCTCACTTAAATGTATGTGAAATATGTTTTTACTGTCCAAGTTATATTTGAGTATATGCACTTTTTGAAGAGTGTATACACAAATTTGCCCTTTCTGGTGCATGATGTGTCTGAGGAGGAGTCTAAAACACATGTTATTGAAAAAAGGTAGATCACAAGATCAAATCCAGTAACATACTCCAGACTGGTATGAGTTGAGTTTATGAACAGTGATCCAAACCAAATAACTGAGAGGCACAAACAGAAACCTACTGACCAAACTGATCTGATCCGTGATCAAAGCTACTCTTATTGTAATATCCATCCTATAAGTCATATTATGCGGAGTATCTAACATAAACATCTGCTGTGCCTTCAACCTCACTCAACTCATATGAACTGAAGCTGACGATGATTGTACGAGAGCCAGATTTGCGGGAACTCATCGTCTTGGTGATGCTCACTTCCTCTCCAGGTGCAATTGACTTCCTGGAGTGAGATGGTATGTTTTAATTAATATCATAAGTTGTAAATCAATCTAGAATTCAAGAATGTCATTTAGCTACATGATTATAGCATTATTACTCATTTATATTCTATATACTTCATGAACTAAATTGTTGAATTAAAGTGAATTAGAATTTGTGTGAAATTTGGGACTGTTCACTTCTATAATCTCACTATTGTCACAAGACAATCTGATTTAAAATGCATGTATCAAAAATTTAGTAATTGCATATTATTTTTACCAACTTAACTAGTATGCATGATTGTAATGCGAGTGAATAAGTGAATAAATGAAAATAAAGAAATTAATTTAATTAATGAATCTGAATTAATATGCACAAGATTTATACTGTTTAAGGGGAGCACATATACTATGAAACATCCTGTATGTATGTTTGAGGGGGTGCATGTACTATATGCATCACCCTGTATATATACTTTGTGTGAACTGTTGTTGGCCTTAAGATCCCTGCACCCTCCAGCACGAACTCTCCACCAGTAAGAGGAACATCTAGGGGGTTGGTAAACGTCACTGTCACATCAAAGTCCTCCCGCAACACAGCTTTCTCTGGTGCCTAAATCCACAACAATATGAAATTTATTTTTAAGGTGGAATTATAGTAAACAGGCAGCATCTTCCCATTCATAATTTTATTCACTATTTTAATGAATGGTATTTAAAGTGCAAATATTGCATATGTACAAATTCAAAACATTCAAACATTAACGATTGCCTCTCAGCCCCTGGTTATAATAATAATTTGCTATTCGGTCTCAAGTAAATTGAGCAAAAATCATTCCAATTCATCAATTTGCTGTCCCTTTAAAAAGGTTCATGAAAAATATTGCATCTGAAAATCAAAAATAGTCACCCCTTAAAATTTACTCAGCATGCCCAAAAACTAAGGAGTTCTAGATTCTCATACCAAGAAACATCCCTGAGGATTATTTCAAATACATCTTCTAGATTATATGTCTGGAAAACTGCAGATAAGAAAAGTGAGATGCCACTACGTTCTGCCCAACTTAACTACAAAGCTAACAACTATATTCAATATTGTGCCTTTTTAGAAGGTACAAAAAAGAAGTGTTCCCCACATATGGTTGTACACTCCACTTGTAAATACCTGTATAATGAGGGTAGGTTTTATAAGGGTGAAGCAGTCTTGTTTAGCAAATGTTCGTCCATTTTCAATCACATTAGCCCTGAGATAGACCTGTATGGACGCTTCTGGTTTTAGTACATTGATGTAGTCCTTTGCCTCGATCTCTAAACTGATTACACGCTCTGGAATAAATATCATGTATAATATGAAAAAAGAGAACATGTATCCCTATTTTACCAATTTTATTCCTATTCCTAGGTATAAGTCATACAAGACAGACCCAGTTGACAGTGACAGCATTTTACTGGGTTTCAGGGTGACTTTTGATTACATTTTGACACAAAGTAATGAAAATATCTCAACTACTTGAAAATGCTTATAAGTCGGTAGAGTATGTGCTGAGGGTGTCCACTAAACACAGGTGTTCACTACTAGTCAACTCACCAGATCCTGCCTCAACAGTCTCATTGAACTCTTTATATGAATGAACCATTACATAGACTCACCAAAAACAAGTTTACTCACCAGATCCTCCCTCAACGGTCTCATTGAACTCTTTATATGAATGAACCATTACATAGACTCACCAAAAACAAGTTTACTCACCAGATCCTGCCTCAACAGTCTCATTGAACTCTTTATATGAATGAACCATTACATAGACTCACCAAAAACAAGTTTACTCACCAGATCCTCCCTCAACGGTCTCATTGAACTCTTTATATGAATGAACCATTACATAGACTCACCAAAAACAAGTTTACTCACCAGATCCTCCCTCAACGGTCTCATTGAACTCTTTAGATGAATGAACCATTACATAGACTCACCAAAAACAAGTTTACTCACCAGATCCTCCCTCAACGGTCTCATTGAACTCTTTGGATGAGTGGGCCATTATATAGGCTCACCAAAAACTAGTCAACTCACCAGATCCTCCCTCAAGGGTCTCATTGAACTCTTTAGATGAATGAACCATTACATAGACTAACCAAAAACTAGTCAACTCACCAGATCCTCCCTCAACGGTCTCATTGAACTCTTTAGATGAATGAACCATTACATAGACTCACCAAAAACAAGTTTACTCACCAGATCCTCCCTCAACGGTCTCATTGAACTCTTTAGATGAATGAACCATTACATAGACTCACCAAAAACTAGTCAACTCACCAGATCCTCCCTCAACGGTCTCATTAAACTCTTTAGATGAATGAACCATTACATAGACTCACCAAAAACAAGTTTACTCACCAGATCCTCCCTCAACAGTCTCATTGAACTCTTTTGTTTTGATCCTCTCAGCTGGAACGCCAGTGTAGAAAGACACCATTGATGACAGCTTCAACTTAACATTACGGACCTCGTCCACCAAGTTCTGCATCCTGCATCAAAATATAGGCTTTGTTATTCAAATAAACGAATTACATGTCAGTTATAGACTGATTCTATGTGTCTTACCAAACCAACTCAACATCAAAGTTCCACAAGCATTGTAGCAATGTCTCATGCTTCGAAGCACATACCATATATGTATATGAACAAGGCACAGACGTGAACAATATCGTACCTAAAACACAGCATTGTGGTCTTGTTGACCAAGAAAGCAAGATGGCCGCAGAAAAGTTAATCAGCTCTAGAACTTATCACTGTGTAACATATGTAAAAAATTTGAACGGTTTGGCTGGAAACCTGTAGACAAGTCTTGAAAGTGAAGATTTTAGGACGGAAAATCCAAAATGGCCACCTTAAAATTTACCCAGAATGCCCAAAAACTAATCAGTTCTTGACGTTGATATGTAGAAACATCCCTGAAAATTTCAGATGAATCCCTCAAATGGTTTGGCTGGAAACCTGTAGACAAGTCTTGAAAGTGAAGATTTTAGGACGGAAAATCCAAAATGGCCACCTTAAGATTTACCCAGAATGCCCAAAAACTAAGCAGTTCTTGGCGTTGATATGTAGAAACATCCCTGAAATTTTCAGATGAATCCCTCAAATGGTTTGGCTGGAAACCTGTAGACAAGTCTTGAAAGTGAAGATTTTAGGACGCAAAATCCAAAATGGCCACCTTAAGATTTACCTTAAATGCCCAAAAACTAATCAGTTCATGACGTTGATATGTAGAAACATCCCTGAAAATTTCAGATGAATCCCTCAAATGGTTTGGCTGAAAACATGTAGACAAGTCTTGAAAGTGAAGATTTTAGGACGGAAAATCCAAAATGGCCACCTTAAAATTTACCCAGAATGCCCAAAAACTAATCAGTTCTTGGCGTTGATATGTAGAAATATCCCTGAAAATATCAGATGAATCCCTCAAATGGTTTGGCTGGAAACTTGTAGACAAGCTGAAAAGTGAGACGCCGCCCGCCCGCCTGTCAAGCTGACTACAATATCGTACCTTTTGTTAGGTACGATAAAAAGCTAAATCTAATGCTTCAAATCATTTATATAAAACTTTGCTTCACTACCTTTCTAGGTAGAGTGAGAACTGTAAAATAACACTTCCAAAAATGGTAGACAATTTTCAAAATAACCACCTTACAACCAAATTATCAGACAAAGATAGTGTGCTTCCAAGTAATCACATAAAATTAAAAAAAAAAAAATACTTCAATTCTTTTCTAAAAAAGCCCTTTGAAGTCTGCTAAAAGATTTCAGCATTCTATTATGTAAACTATAATATGATGCTGTTGTAGATAAGCCGAAATCTTATTGGTTATTATTATTTAAATATGGCTTATTAGTCTTGACACACGACTTGTGTGTCATATATTATGATACAGTTGTCTACAAAGAAATAGAGAACAATGAGATGTATTACAACAATCATCATTTCAATAAATCAGATAAAATTTATTCTACCTGACTTTTAAATCAAAATTCTTTCCAATCTCAGCATTGTTTGGAACCTCCAATGTAAACTTGACATCAGGCTCAGGAATGTCATAAACTTTATGTTTTCTGCGTGAACTGTAGCGATGGGCACGGCGCACAGATGCACGCTCTTCTTCAGATCCTGCAAGAAAATCGATTGGTATGATATTTAGTGAGAAATCATCCTTGTCTTTAATAGTTAGCCAAACTACCAAATACCATACGCTACATGTATTTAAGATTGGCTAATGAAACAGCTAAATAAAGTATGCTTTTACAGAAAATTATTCTGAGTCAACAGTCTTCTTTTGCCATTGACTATTACATACATGCAGAACAATGTACATATTTCTGATTTCAAATGTTGCTTTTATGACCTTTTATAGGATTAATGGCTGTATTATGAATGTCAGAATATTATGCAAGAGAATTGGCTCCCAGGGACACCAATCATTATTCTGTTCCATATATGGGTATCACATAGTCATGTTATGAATAAAACATTCAATTGAGAATATCAGCCATTCTCCTTGCAGCCGTAGAAATATACAGGCAGGATCGGAAACTACCGCATTGATTGGAGATTAAAGGATATCGAGTTGAAACCCTGGCTTCCAATCCTCCTGAATACTATGACAATGTACTGAATGTCGCCATCTGTGTTAAAACAAGTCGAAACAATGGGCACTAAGAGAGAATCATGAACAGATGTTTTCCCTATATTCCTACCCAAACTTCATTTAGCGTGATGATGAAAGGCACGAATATCACTTATACACTAGGATATCGTTTAGGTGAGGACATAAAAAATGACAATTTTTCAGCTTACCTTCAGGGTATTTATAAAGATGAGTGACATCTTGTCTCTCTTTGGACAGAACAGCTTTAGTACTGATGAAACGACCAACAAAATCTTTCTCCTTATATACAGGCTTCATAGTACCATCTTCTTCCACCTGAATGAATAGAACTACATTTGTAGAGTAAATATCTTGATAATGATCTTAGCAGTTCCATTTTTGGAGCAAATACTTAAGCAAAAGGTTGGGTTAAATCTCTATTGACAAAAGGCTAAAAAATCTTTAGGTTCGCTTACTCTTTTAAAGATTACAATTTTAATGTTTAATCACAAACCATATACACTGTAAATTAACATTAATTTACATTAATTCAAATGGAAACACTTGATAAATCAGGAAATTAAATGAGCTTTTGCCAGTTGTCTACATTATGAATAGTATTCTGGTCACAACATGTGCTGTCATCTATTTATCTATCTATATATCAAATTGTCGGTGGTCTCACATGATAAATGAAGATGGAACCAACAGGGTAAAATACAAGTATGGACCCCTCAAAATATGGACATGATATAGCCTCCGCCCCTCACAATCTATGTAAATAATTATTTTGAATGATATGGAAATAAATAACAATAACCTATAAAAAAAAAATATGGACATGATCTCAGGTAAACGGCAGTTTTCATTCGTGAATGTAAAAAACAGATAGATGGACAGTAGGCAGATACATAAATGGAGGGTGAAAATAGAGATGTATGAATGGACAATTGCATAGGTCAAAAACTGTAGATATATTTGTATATATACCTCCCAATGTACTCTATCGCCATTCACTTCAGCAAATATGAATGGAGCATCATACTGAAGGTAAACTTGGCCTTCTTTAATGGCTTTAAGTGGAGCTGGTCCACATCGCATAACACCTACAAACATACAAAAAACATTGAACACTTCTCAATGTGAAAACTTTTCAGACACATTTTCATCAATAGCTCCTAATGACCCTCATGTTAAAAATCTTGATATGTGAACTAGGAGTCCCGGGAATTATCGATACATCCATGCATCAGCTCGTTTGGTTAAGAGCGTATTGATACACACTGTCGAATATTGATACACGAAAATATTGTCCACATACCTTAAATTTTAAATCTTTCGAATATTCAGCTTTTAAGTTAAATTTTATATTTTTTGTTTGACAACAAACTGAAAATAGCATGTTAATGCAAATATATTTGGTTGGTCTCCAGGATTCAGTGGTGTTCAGATTACAAAGGTTTACTGCAAATACAACAAGACATGTAGTTCAAAACAAAATGAGTTGATTTTATTAAAAGAAGACTATTAGACCCCTACATTATACTACCACAATATTTTTGTGGTAATGCAAAGTTCTCTAATGTTGCATACTTAGAAAATGACAAAGAATATCAATATAATAGACTATAATGTTATATCCTACCTTCACTAACTTCTTGTGGTGTTGCATCATGGGCTTGCCAACCCTCGTACCCTTCAGGTAGATCAGGACGTCTAAACCAGGATTCATTCCACACATGGAAATTCCTGAAGTTAACAATGGTGAGTTTTCAATTAACTTAGAAAAAAGCAAATAGGACATTTGGGGCACATTTAAAAATATTTACTTCTCATTTTATTTTCGATGTTTTGCAAAATTTTCATCACTTTTCTTTTATCACCCTGGCAATGAATAAAGCCAGACTGTGAAATTATTAGAGGTTTTCTGTAAACACATGGTTTAACTAGACAACAGTTACAAACAAAGTATATAGCAAAAATGGCAGCCATTTTTCAAAATGGCCACCTTCTATCGAAAGTGGCACTAGACAGTGTGCCATGCTTATAGTATTTATATACCAAATATGAACAAAATCGCTCCACTACATTTTGAGTTACAGTAAAATATGAACATCATTCGATGGGATAATAAATAACCCATTTGATAACATTTTTGAACTGCCACTTGTATGAGCCCTAACATTTCAAGTTTGCTTATGGTATCTTTAATTTATCTTACCATATTGAGTCATTCAGGTCTTCAATGGGTTCATCATTCTTGCCCCAGTGCACATCAATAGTCATACTAGCATCTGTATCATGGGCAGACTCAAAGTTGGTCACACTTCTTGTTGGAATACCAAGGGCTCTGAGCACTATAAAAACAATATACAACAATGAATAATACAATGACTGGGTGCTTTAAGGCCCCATGAAAAGTTTAAACCTCTTTGGCTTATATTGTAATCTAGCCTGATTTTTCAAACTTTTCATAGGGTCTTAATGGAGAATTGAAACATCTGCTACACCCGTAACACCCACATGATTCAAGTTACCTGTCTAAGGAGTTATCTATATTACTTTAATATTTTGAAGCATTGCTTAATAGCCCAGACACTGATTTCACTTATTGTCATTCATATTTTTTGTTGAAACCCTTTCCTGCCCAATCACCCAAATTATGAGACTGTTGTATTTACTTGATTGCCTGGGCTTTGATATCTTTTTTTGCTGGAATTTTGGTTTTAACTTAAAATAATTGAATTTTCCATTTTATTGCAATAAAATAATTCTGGGCAAGAAAGGATTAAAATAGGTTATAAAAAAACAGACTAAGTCTGCATTTTGAACTTAAGATTATAAAAGACCCCAGTTTCAACAACTCAATCAAACATTGCATGTAAGAAGAAAAATCCTTCAGGCCTCTCTTGAAAAATCACAACTTTACTTCCATTAACATTCTCCAAATGCATTCATTTTCCTAAATGGGATATCTGGTAATTTTCCTATACCTGTAATACTAAAGTAAGCTGTCTGATTGGCCACTTCCAACTGACACTGAATACTATTTATTATAAAATGTCACCAGCAGCAAATACAAACATAACAACTCACAACATCATGAATCAAAATAATAAAAGAAATATATATTTATCTATTTATTTGTTCAGATGAAACACATCTAATTTATCTTAAAACATATATACACATACATGCAAACATATTTGCATTTGAATGATTTTCATCAAAAAAATTACAGTACATTATTATCAAAATTAACTTTGCTTAGTATCCCAATCATATTGACTAATATATACTTGTAGACATCTCCTATAATACTATCTTTGCATAGTACCCCAATCATATTGACTAATACAGATGTAGGCATCTCCTATAATACTATCTTTGCATAGTACCCCAATCATATTGACTAATATAGATGTAGGTATCTCCTATAATACTATCTTTGCATAGTACCCCAATCATATTGACTAATATAGATGTAGGTATCTCCTATAATACTATCTTTGCATAGTACCCCAATCATATTGACTAATACAGATGTAGGTATCTCCTATAATACTATCTTTGCATAGTACCCCAATCATATTGACTAATATAGATGTAGGTATATCCTATAATACTATCTTTGCATAGTACCCCAATCATATTGACTAATACAGATGTAGGTATCTCCTATAATATTATCTTTGCATAGTACCCCAATCATATTGACTAATACAGATGTAGGTATCTCTTATAATACTATCTTTGCATAGTACCCCAATCATATTGACTAATATAGATGTAGGTATCTCCTATAATACTATCTTTGCATAGTACCCCAATCATATTGACTAATACAGATGTAGGTATCTCCTATAATATTATCTTTGCATAGTACCCCAATCATATTGACTAATATAGATGTAGGTATCTCCTATAATACTATCTTTGCATAGTACCCCCATCATATTGATTTATATAGATGTAGGTATCTCCTATAATACTATCTTTGCATAGTACCCCAATCATATTGACTAATACAGATGTAGGTATCTCCTATAATACTATCTTTGCATAGTACCCCAATCATATTGACTAATACAGATGTAGGTATCTCCTATAATACTATCTTTGCATAGTACCCCAATCATATTGACTAATATAGATGTAGGTATATCCTATAATACTATCTTTGCATTGTACCCCAATCATATTGACTAATATAGTTCAATAGATTATGGGCTAACTGGAGATTCAACCCAAAACCAAAATGTGTGCCATCAAAACTAAATGTATGGTTCGTTAATGCACTTGTGTTAAATGTAGGAATGCTATAATTGGCAAGAAATGTTCTCATCTTGTTAGTATAGAGCATCACATCTTTGGGTCCTTGGTGATTGTTCAAATAACGTGCTCTTTTCATTAACCCTGGATAATGTGGTGTCATAAACAACATCCTAGGTCTTGTATGGTTTGTGTAAGAATTCTGCTGGAAGATCCTATCGCCCAAAGCCTTTATGTATTTTTCTACTGCCAGCTTTGTTGAGGGAAAATCAAATCCACTATGAAGGCCAGTAGAAAATAGAATTACTTGATTCTCTTTTTCTCTTATGAACTCAACGGAATTTGGTAACAATGGTAATTTGTAGTCCTCTCTGAGTGTCAGTTGGATCGTTGAATTGCAAATCTTCCGTTCCCTGTCTGCCATTAATCGACAGTATTTTTCATCAAACTGGAGATGATATCCACAGTAATCTCTGTCACCTAGAGAAAATAAATCATGTAAAGAGTGACCAGAAGTTATAGTTGACCAAAAATTATTTACCCTCTCAATTATGGTAGAATCTTCTTGAATTTTCTTGTGTAGAAAGTGTTTCATGCAGGAAATGGCTGTGTACTTTTGTACTTATTTAGAAAATATAACTTTAAGGTTAAGAAAACTATGTTTTCCATCAAGGTATACTCTTACTCTAAAGTCAATCAAAAATGGTAGCCAAGAAATATGTATTCTTTAGATAATTCCATCATGTCATAAGTAATACGTTGAATACAAGTTATTCCAAAAAACGGGAAAAAAGAATCATTGACGATAAGTATACAATATGAAAGCAATCCAAAAATAACTCAATGTATTTAAATTATCTAAGCAAATCTCCAAGGTATACCCATTCAGAAATGATACAGAAAATATCAACTTTACCTGGTTTAGTATCTGGTAACATGGCTCCATCTTTCATACGTCCACTGAGAAGTATCAGCAGTGCCCCAAAGAAATGTCGCACTAGGGAATCCCCAACTAGGATAATATGTTTCACATTCTTTTCAGCTAACATTTTACAGGCTGAAGTTGGATCATAATATGTCATTTGGCATTGTTTTGAATGTGGATACCAGTGGTGTCTCTCCGCAACAATTCTTTGTCTAAGATCTAAGCAGTCCTCACACGTACACTGTTCAATTGTCTTATTCTGACATTGATTCTTGAAACAACATGCTCTTGGCGATGAAGGGTAACAAAGTGCACGGCGGGGCACGGAAGAAGTCTCCACATTAGTATCTCTGTTTCCACATTGTCCATTCGGTAGAGTCAGTGCAGCTTCACTTGGCATAAAAATCATTTTTTCAAGTTCATCACTTCGTTTGTCTCGTTTAATCCATTCACCGTTAGACACACAGTCGATATATTCCTGCTCCGTCATCAAACGATCTAGCGTGATAATGTTGCTCATTGATTTGAGTCGATTCAACAAGAATGGCGATCGCAGTAAATCTGTAACTATTCCACTGCTCATTTGAAAATTATAGCTTGTGTATATAAGGAAATAACACATGATTGTTAAAATAAAAAAAATTATTGGATAACAGCACTGTCGGAACATGGTAAACAGAACCAATCTTGATTTATAAATCTAAGAAATTAATAAAGCAATATTGAGTGAACTGCCTGTATATTACATTCAAAATAATGCAGTATATAAAATCTTTAGTATTTCTCAACTCTCATGCTATAAAACAATTAATACATTTGAAATATATGAATATTAATATTAAGAAGATATCTATTATATTGCCAATTTAACAATTGATTTTTTCTGGAGCAGGTGTTTTATCAAATTGACTTTATTATTCCTTATTCAACATATACTAGTATTTGATGATAGATGTTCTATTAGATGTTCAATTAGCATGTTTGTCAAACTTTAGGCAAACTATGAAACAGTTCAAGGTTATATAAAGTTTCATGAAATTGAACTGCAAACATGGTTATCAAAATTAACCATTCCCGAATGTTTCACTTGAAACTATATCATCAAACTGGCCTATGCTTTAATACAGGAATTTGCCAAAATATAGATATATTTTTACTGTCTGCCACCATTTTAGTATTTTCAGGAAAAATTCTTTCTATTACAAACACAAATATTTTGATGACAACTAGAAAAACAGCAACTCCAAGGAGTAGCAAATCCCACCGAACAAAACATGTTTTGATAAATAGCGGCCATATAAAATTTGAGCCAAATCCATCCACTGGTATTTGAATTATCAAAGATTATGTTTTTATGAAACATGGTTGCCATTTTGAAATTCAGCTGTCATCTTAAGATTTCTTCTTTAGCAGAGCTCCTATGTCCCAAAGCATCAGCATATAGAATTTAATCCAAATCCCTCAACTGGTACTTGATTTATCAAGGTTTACATGTTAAATAAAAAATGGCGGAGATTTCGATAAATAGCAGCCACCTTGGAAATTTCTTCTCAAGCAGAGCTCCTTTATCTCTAGGCATCAGTATATAAAATTTTAAGTAAATCCGTCCAATGGTATTTGAGTTATCAAAGATTACCTTTTTTAAGAAAAATGGCAGCCATTTTCAATTCAGCTGATGCCTTTGAAATTTCTTCTCAAGCAGATCTCCTTTTTCCCTAAACACCAGCATAAAAATTGGAACCAAATCCATCCACTGGTATTTGAGTTATCAATAACTACGTTTTTTTTACGAAAAATGGTGGCCATTTTGAAATTCAGTGGCCATCTTGAAAATGTCTTCTTGAGCAGAACTTCTTTGTCTCTAGGCATCAGCATATAGAATTTGAACCAAATCCATCAACTGGTATTTGAGTTATCAAAGGTTAAATTCTTTTATGAAAAATGGCGGCCATTTTGAAATTAAGCTGCCATCTTGAGAATCCCTTCTCGAGCAGAGCTTTTATGTCCATAGGCATCAGCAGGTAAAATTTGAACCAAATCCATTGAATGGTCTTTGAGTTATCAAAGATCACGTTTTTTTACGAAAAATGGCCGCCATTTTGAAATATGGTGGCCATCTTGAAAATGTCTTCTTGAGCAAAGCTCTTTTATACCCAGGCAACAGCATATAAAATTTAAACCAAATCTATCCACTAGTATTTGAGTTATCAAAGATTATATTTTTTCAGAAAAATGGCCGCCATTTTGAATTTAGCGGCCATATTGAAAATTCCTTCTAAAATTTGAATCAAATCCGTCAACCGGTATTTGAGTTATTGGCTGGACACACAAACGGACGAACGGACTGTCGGACGGACGGACAGACGGACGAACGGCTTTTCTATATCCCCCTCGAACTTCGTTTGGTGGGATAATGAACTCTACAGTCACAATATACAAGTGATCTCTCTAGCATTAGACATATGCAACTGGGTAAATTCAGCACCCTCTTGAAAATTCAAAAATGACATACCACACTGTTAATAATCTGTCATCACGCTGTCAAAATTATGAAATATTGAAATATTTCAACCAGAACTGACAACAGTAGGATAAAGCACCTTTATTGAATAAAGATCTTGGGAGATCACTGTATACTTTAATATTGAGTCAACTAGACCTTCTGACGAGAACATCAATATTTTTGCATCTCATTGTTTTTTTTTTAAGTTCCAATTGTTTTTATTGTTCTGGAATTTACACAAACATGTGCATGTATCAAATTACTAACTTGAAGATAACATAATTTCAAATGACTGATCAAAGCAGAATTTGTACAATATGTAACATAGAATTGATATTAAAATTCTAAAGATAACCTATTTGTATTTGGAGACCTCCTTTTGATGTATATTTTATTTTGTTGTACATTATTGAGGGGGAGGTTTCGATGAAAAAATGATTTACTTGTTTTGACTTATCCTCATTGTTAGGTGGCGAAAGGAGAAAATACAATAGTACACCAAACAAGAACATTAAGAGGCCAATTGAGCTCTTTACAATATAAATGCCATCAAGTTAGACATGGGGTGTTTCATTACACATATATGGGTAATCTAAATGACATAACATGTTTAAAACACTCTTACATGTTAAAAAATAGTACTATGGGTACTGGGCTCACATGGTGTTGCTCAAAAGTGAATGATGGCTATAATGACAGAAAATAAAAAAGAAACGGATTTTTGTAACAAAATTGTTTCAAGCCACTTGCCACTGTTTTGGACTGACTGAGAGACAAATGGACAAATCAATGTTAAGTAAAATGGCTGAAAATAAAGAAACGGATATAAATTATTTGAAAAGCTAGGAGATGGGCCAAAGGTGAATTTAGCGAGACAAAAATGGCGACCATTTTGAAAATAGGCAAGCTTATGAACCAGGAGTCATAGGGGAGTTTTTTGTATTGATGTTGAACAGAAATAACAGGAATCCTATTGTCAGAGGTTTTAAGGCAAATGGTCCAAAAGAGGATTTCTTGAGACGGATGGACAAATCAATGTTAACTAAAATGGCTGAAAATAACAAAACAAATATAATTTTTTGCTGATTTTTTGTAACAAAATTATTTCATACAACTACTCTTTACACTGACATGACTTTTTACAATGCAGGATATCTGAAATTATTTGTAAAGCTAGGAAATGGGCCAAAAGTGAATTTCGCGAGACAAGAGTGGCAACCATTTTGAAAATAGGCGAGCTTTTGAACCAGGATTCATAGGGGAGTTTTTTGTATTGATGTTGAACAGAAATAACTTATAACAGGTTTCAGAGGTTTTAAAACGTGCCACTATTGTTCACGGAGAATTGGATTTCGCCAGTCAGATGGACAAATCAATGTTAACTAAAATGGCTGAAAATAAAAAATGGATAAAATTTTTTCCTGATTTTTTTGTAACAAAATTATTTCATATAACTACTCTTCACATTGACATGGAGTTTTACAATGCAGGACACCTGAAATTATTTGTAAAGCCAGGAAATGGGTCAAAAGTGAATTTCGCAAAACAAAAATGGTGGCCATTTTGAAATTAGGCGAGCTTTTGAACCAGGAGTCATAGGGGATCCGGGAGTTTGCTTTACTGATGTTGAATACAAATAACTTAAAACAGGAATCCTATTGACAGAGGTTTTAAAATGTGCCACTATTATTAACAGAAAAGTGGATTTCATGAGTCAGATGGACAAATCAATTTTAACTAAAACACCCTATGCAGACAGAGCCTGTGGGAAATATTGGGTGCGGCGCAAATGAGCGGAGGGTGCGGAGCTAACGGTCATTTTTGAATTTAAAATTGGGATATTTCTGAAACTAAGCCGTTTTGGGACTTCAAATATACCAAGATATGTGTATTTGACACCAAATATCAATAAAATTGTGAAAATAGTAGTGCAATTCATTTTATAGCGACGCATTATGCCTTAAACATTTCCCAGACCTATATATTTTGAGACTATCCTTTTAATACTGCGTCCCCAGCATTCATAAAAAAATGGTGTTCAAGATACACTACATATGCAAATTATTTTTGCATCTTGGAAGCCAGGCAGTATCTGTGTGATTTTATAAAAATTCGGAAATGTTTTTCAGATATGAGCCCCCTCTAAATATTGGGTGCGGAGGAGTTCCATAAACGTGCTTCCAAGATGCAAAAATAATTTGTATAGATAGTGTACCTTGAACACCATTTTTTATGAATGCTGGGGACTCAGTATTAAAAGGATAATTTCAAAATATTTAGGTCTGGGAAAGGTTTAAGGCGCACTGCGTCGCTATAGAATGAATTGCGCTACTATTTCCACAATTGTATTGATATTTGGTGTCAAATACATATATCTTGGTATATTTAAAGTCCCAAAACGGCTTAGTTTCAGAAATATCCCAAATTTAAACTCAAAAATAACCGTTAGCTCCGCACCCTCCGCTCATTTGCTCCGCACCCAATATGATCGCAAAAGCTCACCATGTGAGTAAAAAGTAAATAAAAAAGTAAAAACTAAAAGTACAGTACATTTAATTCATCGTTCAACATATTATCAAAAATAAATTTTTGATTTGCACCAATATGACTGACATCGCTCGAAATCAGAAATGCAAAAGCTGAAATTCGTTTTTATTCCTCCAATACAAACAGATACGTTTGACAAAAGTCAATGTCATGAGTTAACATTAAACAACATACAGACATTCTACCTATATTATAAAACCCCAAAAAGTAATAAATATGACACTGTGTTAAATAAAAATTAGATAAAGAAAATATATTGTGGCTCAGGCTAAGAAATAAAGAAAAAAAAAGAAAAAAATTTGCCATGGCCGGGATTCACAAACCTGATTCTTTAACCACTTGGCCACAACCTCAGCTTGAATATAAGGAGTAATTTTTAATAAAGATTGGTAATTTTTGAAAATATTTTTTCACAACATTACAATAATTAAAAATTACATTTAGTCAATTATAATGCTAAAAATATTAGAATACATATTTGAGTAAGTGTTTTTTGCCAAATTCAGAATTAATGATGTTAATTAAGTTTTCATTTTGATAATCTATTTCCTGTCATGACAGTAAAAGAAACATGGCCTCCAAAACAATTTTCTTGCTTCCAATTTTCAAACAAAATGATATATATCCATGAATCAGCTACCCTGTGTGCAGAGTCTAGTTAAACTACACTCTGCCTAGTAGAGACCATATTACAGTTTAGTAGCCCTGCCCCCACAACGGGTACCGGTGACAGTTTGCTGCCCTGTCAACCCTCACGCATTAGGCGTAATTGTCACGCATTTGCTGGAAAAATAGAAATCACGCATCAATTTAGCGTGTATGATCAAATATCTTGCAAATCACACATTTTTTTGATATTTTTAATAATCGTTTTTTGTGAAATGCCGAAACGGTAAAATATTGAACGGCGAAAAAATCGAACGCATTCTGTTCAGTTTTTGCACGCGATTGCCGTTTATGTCACGCATTTGGTACAGAATATGTGTATATATCACACATTTGTTTCGAAAATATTTACACCTACCCCCCCCCCAGTGTTCAGTGAAGCTGTCCAAAGTTTGAAGGAAGGTGTTCAACATTTGGAAGTCACTCATATTAGATGGTCCCAAGTTGACAGCCCTGAGTTTGGGTAATAAATCACTTTTGACCTACGCGCTGACCTTTCTTTCACCAATCAGCGAGCTTGAAGAAACATACGCCAAATGCGTTCTATTTAAATATGCGCATGTCATTGGTCAATTCGGGGCTCAACGATTACGTCAGAAGGAATGACCATATATAGAACGTCGGTCAAATTTGGCCGACGAACACTGATTGGCGCGGTGATTTCACAGGTTTATTTTAGTTTGAAAGAGTGAAGACAAAGCTCTCTTTTAAGAAGTGAAGTCAAACGAATGCAAAGGGTATGAATCAGCTGTTTTTGGCACCATAACCCATCCTAATTAATAGAAAGGTAAGACTATTTTCTTGAGTATTTCTTGAAATCCCTCATTTTAGCCTCTGGTCTTTGAAAGTAACTTTAAATGGACAGCTAACCCCAGTTCTTTATGCAGCTATACCTTATACACACTACTTGCCAATATAAGGACAAATTTTAATGCCATATTTGGGTCTGTAATTGCTACGATGATTAAACTATAAGTGTCATATTGACCTACTTCAATTCAATATGGCCACTAAATCAGCCATCTTGGAAACTTCAATTCAATATGGCAGCCCCCAGTCTGTTATTTTCAAAAAATTGTTAAAGCCTCAGAAATGTGTAGCACCATGTGAGATCAGCAAATCACCTGTGATGGGCTGTTTATACATGACAAATAGTTTTACTACTAAGTCAATTGTTAGAAATAATCAAGAGAAAACACTTACATGTGGTTACTAATCCTGAGAAGACCCAGCATTGACCATATCTAACACTGCGTTTGTTCTTCATGTATTGTTCTATGATGCCTACACTTCCATTCCAGTTCCAAGGCAGTGTGCAGTTCTTTGGCCATTCTTCGGTCCACCTACCATACAATACTCCATTGTCATCCATACTGTTAGCCTACAACATACAAACTCAATCTGTTTAAACTATATAATTTAAAATGTCTTGTTCACAATATTAAGCTTTATAATCATCATCTTCTGATCAACTATGGAAATAATTTTTATTATTATATCATTGCTAGAATTTGTGTCCTTTGATTGGCTGATTCAGTACCATGTGATCAAATATACCAAAGCGTATTTCACAGCTCCCTTAATTTTTGAATTATAAAAGACGTATTGCCCGGCGTATTGCCCGCCCGGGAATTCTGAATCGTCCCGTTTCTTCCAGTACATTTGTGACGTGCATTAAAATGGCAGACAAAAAAGGTTTAGACATTTTCTAGGAATTTGGACATCTCAATTTTTCATTGAAATAACTAAATTAGGGCTTAGAGGTATGCTTTCTTGAAATGCTGATTCCGAAATTTTACACTCTCTATCTTTTACAGCCACTTGAAACATTATTTGTATGGACTTTCATAACTTTCTATTTTTGTTTTTTGTATATTTCATGACTATTTCTAGAAAATATGGTGATTGTGCAAATGATATGTCTAAAATGTGTAGCAGTTTTGCGTGAAGAGAAATGAAAAATGGAAAAAACGGCATTAACGCTAACTAAAGATGTTCAAAAGACAGGAACTTATTAAATTTAATATAAAGTTAGGTTTGTATTTACCATAGCAGATATTACTCTACATATCAGGACAGGATTGGACCGAGCACCATCTGCCAGCTCTGCTTTGTCCAGTAAATACAAGGCAGCCTCCAGGCAAACATCTTCAAACTGGAAAACATATAGGATTGTTTATTCATTTGGTGTTAAAGTAGCATCCTAGGGCATAAGCACACTAGCAGTGGGAAAAAAGATTGGAAGGGGGTTGAGGATTGTATAGAAATCAATATAATCATTAAAAGAGCCAAAGCCAAAAAGGTTTTCAGACCTACTTTTAAAAGGAGTGCTTTGCTCTATTCTACATCTGGGCAAAAAAGTCCAATTGACAGTTTTAAGCAAAAACTTTCAACCCACAATTACCCAGATGCGAGTAGGGGTAGATAATATGGCAGGGTATTGTAAGTTCCCTTAAACTTGAATATTCATCAGTTTTAGTTGTCATATTAGTCTTATGTATCTGATAGTTATACAATTTAAAATATGACCAGTAAAAGAAAAAATATTATCTGTCCAATATAAGAAAAGATATTTCACTTTTTGCGATTTTAAAACACTGGGTCTATGGGGAATCTCCCTGGCCTAGAAGTCACATTTTCAAAGAAAATTAAATTTTCAAAGTTAATCAACACTTTTTAAAACCACATTTCTACATGTAATTTTACATGTAGATTTCAAACATGATATCACTTTGACTGAATTTCGAAAGTAAAATGATGTAAATCAAGATTATTTCTATTTCCATATAGTCTATTTATCACAAGGTTCAATTTATGAATGACATGTTTAGTATGTTTGTAGCTTAGGAAATGGTGCCCTTCTTGACATGGAAAGTCAGCTTTTATAGGCCCATCATGTTAAGTATATAAGCCAAAAAAACTGACCGAACCGAGTCTGGTAAGAACCCAATTATATCGAACCATGACAAACTATGACTGGCCGACTCTCAATCATCACAAATTCCTTTCAAAACATTCAGATTTTAGTTACCTGACCAAAGTTCCATGGTCTACCACCAAAATTGTGCTGTGATCCGCACCAAATGGCTCCAGTTTCATTCATAACATACTCCTGCCTCTCATCTTCATTCCCCAGGTACACCTGGTCATCTGAGAGACAACAATATTTTTTATTTAATAGATTCTTTTTTTTTTAAATCTTTATTTTCACATATTATTTACAGGTTTAAGAGATTCTACCCATGAAGGCAGACAGGTGCAGAGTGGGGTTGATAGGGTGGGGATTTAAAATAATTTAGTTTGCAATTTCCAGTTATGTAGAGCATATTAAGTAATATCAATTATATATTCATACACTATTCTTAAAAGCACATTATTAGAGGTTATATTTTCTATTTGGTGTTCATTTGATAAAATCATTTTGCTTGAAAAACTGAATGAGATTAAATTTATTTCTACTGGTGTCTAGTCTATTGTTGGTACATTGAATGGCACTACAGTTAAAACTTTAGGGAGCATAAGTTACCTTTGCACCATGGATTAAACACCACAGTCACAGTATCATCCTCATACTCATGTCTGTATAACAACTTCTCCCCATCATCATTCAGCATGGATGTTTCAATGAACATGTGATATCTGCCAACAATGGCCTCTGCAGATGGAATGATGGAAATCTGGAAACAAAACACAGGGTGAACAATATTGCAACCTCAAGAATTTCTTATATGTAACATTATGTGTGCATTGATAATTCACATTAGCATGAAGGTCACTCTTTAAATGTAACATAGATCGGGAAATATTCATGGTATAAATTTATAATGAATTAAATCAAGCACAAAGGCATTCATCCTCCTAAGCAGGTATCCAGAATCCGTACCTCCTTCTTCCCCCTGCTATAACCAATTTGGAAACGCCCGATTAAACTGAATCACATGATCTTATTATGCGCAATGACTTATACATAATTTCTGTCGCATTGTTGCGACAGCCAATCAGATTACAATTTCTTAATCAGGGAAATGCTAACTGCTTATCGCAGGGGGCAAAAAGAAAGAATATATTCTGGATTTTGAAGCCCTGTGATCGGAGGATGAAAGGCATTGCAGTCAATGTTTTTGAAAAATATTTGTTACAAAAGAAAGACTTAAAGAGTATAACATCATTTTTTCCAGTATTTTTGTTTTGTGACATCATTTTTCCAGTATTTCGTTGTGACATCATTTTCTCCAGTATTTTTGTTTTGTAAAAGAGTTTCTCATCACAAACTATATCTAATGTAGACTATATACATCTTCTACCAATCATTCAGAGTGAAAAAATCATACTTAAAAATTATGCAAGAAGCCTACTGTACATTTAATTCCTTGTCATCATTCTGAGTCTTGTTCAGCACAGCCCTCCATTCCTCAAAGTCACCAGAATCTTTCTCCAACAAACTCAGACGTATCACAGTACCTTTGTTCTCCTGTGGTCTATTTCCTATAATGGTTTATTTATATATACAGTACTTGTATAATTTTTTGTTCTGTACCATGGGCATTCAACAGAAAGCCTCTCTTTTAAAATATACAGTGAGGGAAGTCAAACTAGCTATTTTGGGAAATGGGCATGCTCATTTTGTATACAGTTTGTATATTTTCGAGTCAAGCTTATTGAAGAGCTCTATCAGAATGATAAATTAGGAATAAAAAGTAAAATAACGAAAATTGTAACAGTTACTCTCTAGATGTTCTGGAGCCAAACCAAAAGTGTTCCTTCTGAGGTCAAATGTTCTTGTTTTTTGTTTTTTTATTTGTTTTTTTTACTCATATTTATTTATATCAAGATGATGTATTACAAAAGAAGCTCCTCAATTGCTCAAATGTTCTGAGGTTTTCCAGACATGAAAAGCTGGAAAGATACAACAAATTACCTTTCCAGGAGATAATTTAACACATTCATTTCTCTTAGTTTTTGTAAAAAGTAACATTCTAACGCACCAGTAGTGAACTGTATAGTGACTGAATCAGTGTCAGCATTATAAGCTCTATTGAACGTCACATTTACATCAAAGGCTTGTCCACGTCTCACAATGAGAGTCTCCTCTTCATACTCATCCGTGTGGTGCTCCTTCCTGTTGGCATCAACGTTAAAGTCAACTTCTGAAGGCTCTAACTGGATATCTATAATATTCGCAGAAAAGGGGAAAATTAGAGTTAGAAACAGTGATATAAGTCGTTCTATGATATGGTACCACTCCAAGTTCTTCACTGTTTAACTGTTTAACCTCATCTTCGCACCCTCGAACTGGAGCCGAGTGAACAGGTGAATGAAGATGGTTTAAACTGCCATTACAAGTAATTTTACCTGCAAGTACGAAATCAGCTGCCAGTACTTTATTCCTAGTGTTAAAGTCCTCATCAGACACTGCAAGACGCCTGCCACTTTGATCAGGTCCTAGGAGTTTGTCTCGTAGAGCACGGCTACAAAGTTTTAAAAAAATCATATTATAATTGTAGCATTTTAGTTTTTAATCTAAGACAGTAAATGTATCTCAATTGTACTGCTAATTGTAACGTCTGAAAGCACCATATACAATCACGGACTTGAAGAAAGTCCATGGTCGAATTGGGAGAACTAAGCATTATTGATGCCCCTATGTGGTACAATGATGGAGTTATTTTAGCTTTCCAACAACAATGAATGATCGTTCGTGAAAAAGACAATATGCAGGATGCAGAGTTGTTCTGCTACCCAAGGGAAACACAGGTGAATGACTAACTACCAAACACAATGTAACAAGCCAGGTAAAGCATAAGGCCCAGGAACATGTATAAAGAAAATTGAGTCGAATACACCAAGTCTCTTTACATTGTGCATTCGACTCAATTCTTATATAAGTTCTCGGGCCTATGAGGTATAGAAATTGGAAGAAAATGTGAGACCCTATCTGTTACAAGACTTATGCCTGGCACAGCCGTTTGGCAAGGATCCTGCCATGACCATGATAGTGTTATCATGATAGCCTGGTATAACCGTGACAATGCTATATTATATTGCATGGCCTGTCATGACCATGGTAATGCTAAAGCATGATATGACCTATGACAATGGTTGCAAGGCCTAGCATGGTAATGTTAAAGCACAATATGACCATGACAATGGTTATATTAAATGTATAAATCTAGACTACTACTACATGTACTACTCAATTCATTTCCACAAACTATAATTCTAATCTCATTCAAGAACGTGAACATTGTCACGGTCATATCAGGGTTTAACATTACCACAGTCATGACAGGCCTTGCAACCATTGTCACGGTCATATAAGGCTTTAACATTACCACGGTCAGGACAGGCCTTGGAATATAATATAGCATTGTCACGGTTATACCAGGCTGTCACGATAACAATACCACAGTCATGGCAGGATCCTTGCGAAACTTAAAAACACTTAATAACATGGTGACGGTTGTGGCAGGCATAAGTCTTGCAATAGATAGCATGTGACCCAGTTGCCCGTAGCCAGTTTTTACCAGGAGGGGGAGCTTTTTTCCAGGGGGGGAGCTTTTTCACAATTTTGGCTAAAAATCATGCGAAAATTCTCAGAATGGTGAAAAACTGCATGATTTTGAAAGAATTTCTGGCCAGGGGGTAAGGAGCTTCCGCCTCCAGCTCCCCCTCTGGCTACGGGCCCGACCCCTACCCCTTGAAATCAAACACCCCCCTCAAGGCGCACTACCCCAGTTTTGAATGGCAACAGACAAAATGCCTTCGCTTAAATAAGTCATAAAGTCTTAGAGTATTAAAAACTCATTGAAAATCATCAGATTGATCAAATTGAAATTGAAAATTTTTTCATTTTTTTTTAGATCTATTGACTTTTCTTTGAAAAGACCTACGAGGTTGACGATCGAGTCCGTCTTTTTTTCGGTGGAGAAGATGAAGCTGATGTAGTTGACCGTCTCCTACGACCCATGTTACCGATGGTTCCAAATAATATCACAAATCAACTTGAAAATCTGGAACTTTTGTTTTTCCCTCTTTTACCAAGCGGCAAATTAGGTCAAATCCAATGTTGTGTTAGAAGTTTTCTAAGTTTGTACCCCACTTGGGTATTTGTCTTGTTACACCCTAAACACTTTTGTCATGTATTGATGATGGTGCATGAATCGTGAGGGGTATAACACATTGTTTTTACTCACATTAGACTAGATCATGGTGCGGGATATTATTTTGTGTCATCTCTAAACCCACCTACATAAGCGCTAAGTACCAACTAGCAAAATTAAGTTCTAAAGAGCTCTAACGGATAACCGAGTCAATATCCAAGCATGTGTAAATGTGTGAATGAATGTTTATGTTACCTCTGGTCAGGTGTGTATGAGCGTTAAATACCTGTCCCCCTAGTCGGATTGCCCAATGAGTTTATGTGTATGTCAATGATCTACAAAAGGCTAATGAGCCCATATATGGCAGATGTATTTAATTGAACAGTCATCATCATCATCATCATCATCATCAGATTCTGAGCTTGTAGGTCTTAACTAACAGTCCTGTTAATGCTCAGATCTTTATTATTTATAGTTCATATTCAATTAAACTATATCATAGTGGTAAGTTTGCCAAAATCTGTCTAGCCTCCCTTTAAACTGATCTACACTGTCAGACATCACAATCATCTCGGGAAGGCTGTTCCAGTCATCAATAACCCTGTTGCTGAAGGAGTTTCTTCTCACAGTAGTGTTGCAGTGATGCTTGTATAGCTTCAAGGAATGCCCTCTGGTGGTAGTGGTAGCCTTAGTAAAGAAGGAGCTTGGCTCTATTGTGTCGATTCCATTCATGATTTTAAAGACTTGGATCATGTCGCCCCTTCTGCGTCTATATTGAAGTGAATGTAGCTTTAGCTCTTTCAGTCTTTCTTGGTAGGGCTTATCCTTTATTCCAGGTATTAATTTAGTAGCTCGTCTTTGTATTTGCTCTATTTTTCTGTTATCGCCTAAGAATCTTGGATGCCAGATGCTATTTCCGTAGTCTAGAATTGGTCGGATCATGGATTTATACAGTGGAATTATATTTTCCTTTATGTGTGTGAAACTCCTTTTAATAATACCTAGTTTACTATTGGCTTTCTTAGCTACTTGACTAATATGTTGCTTAAACTTCAGTTCAGTGTCCATGATCACTCCTAAGTCCTTTTGTTCTGACACTGATTCAATGTCTTTATCATCAAGTTTATACTTATGGTTCGTATTCATATTCTTTCCGCCTAGGTTTAGCACTTTGCACTTTTTTTGATTGAATCTCATTTGCCATTTATTTGACCAGTTTGACGGTTCCTTGAGGTATTCCGGAGGCCACTGGCTTTGGTGAGGATGTGCTAGTGTTAACTTTCACTGTCTGTGTCCTGTTTGTAAGAAAACCTCTTATCCACTGAAGTACATTACCTCTAATTCCAACACTTTCAAGTTTTTTTAGTAGTCTCTGGTAGGGCACGGTATCAAACGCTTTCGCCAGGTCAAAATATATTGCGTCTAATCTTGTTCCATTGTCGAGTATCTCCGTCCACTTTTCCATTACAGTTAGGAGTTGCGTGATACATGATTTTCCTGGTAAAAATCCATACTGTTCATCAGCGAAAAGTCCATTTTCAAGCATGTAATTTATAATATCATCCCTTATAATGGATTCTAGTAACTTGCAACACACGCTAGTTAAACTGATGGGTCTGTAGTTCTCTGCTAGATCTCTTTGGCCACTTTTGTGTATTGCAACAATCTCAGCCTCCCGCCAGTCCTTGGGGACGTCTCCTGTGTTCAGTGACTTGTTGAAAATTATTGTCAGGGCTTTGGCTATTGAAGGTGCAGTTTCCTTGAGTACCCTTGGGTGAATGCTATCTGGTCCAGGTGACTTAAAAGGCCTCAGGTTCTTGAGCTTTCTCATTACTTTATCATATGTAATGTCAATAGTTGTCATTTGTTTGCCTTTACTTCTATCTTCAATTATGGGTATGTTATCAAGTGTCTCTTCAGTGAAAACACTCGCGAAGTAGTCATTCAGTAGGTTCGATTTCTCATGGTCATTATCACAGTAGGTTCCATCTTTATCTCGTAGGTCAGGTATTCTAGATTTCGGCTTAATTTTCGAGTTAACATAATTGTAGAAGATTTTGGGATTCTGCTTTGATTTCCTTGCTATTTCATGTTCAAAGGCTTTATTCAATTGCCTAGTTTGTTTTCTTAGTTTGTTACTTTCTCGTCTTGCGTTTTCATAGTCCTTTCCATCCTTAGTTTTCAGGTATCTCTTCCATGTTGACAGTTTTTTCCTATACTGCTTCAGTGCATTTTTGTCCATATAGATGTTTTTCCTTTTGTCAGATTTTGGGCTAATAAAGGGGACATTACTGCGAATAGAGCTACATAGTTTCTCCTAAAATAGATTCCATGACTCTTGGGTACTTAAATTCTCCAGGTCTTTGGTCCAGTTTACATTATCCATATCATTTCTAATCTGGCTATAATCCCCTTTAGTGTAACATGTTTTTTATCTGGTACATATGTGTTTGATTTGTCTATGTTAGAGCTAATCTTGAAGCTTATAATTATATGGTCACTATGTCCAAGCTTACCCATATACTCTATCTGTGATACACTTTCTTCCCTGCTTGAGAATATCAAATCCAGGATGCTCGGCCTTTGTCCATGCACTATTCTTGTTGGTTGATCTATATGTTGATGTAGGAATAATTCTTGGGTTTTCTCTAGAAAAATGGATGAAAAATGTTCAGATCCCATATTTGATTGACAGTTTTTCCAATCTATTTCTCTCATGTTAAAATCTCCTGTTATGCAAAGTTCACATTTTTCCTGTTGATAGAATTTGAATAGAATACTACATGTACTAAGTATTATTTAAAACCTTGACATTTAAAAATACATCTATGGTTTACAACTCATTTTAATTGAAAGGAACCTTCTTGGTTGGCCCATGTACCCTCTAGGAGTTCCCCCGTAGATTGTGACCTGGTCACAGACCCTAGACATAAGCGTAGCTCTATTTTTATGAAAAGTGCACCTCCACGGTAATACAAGTTGAGCAAAGCGAAAACGAGCGTTCTGGGGATTCTGGGGGATGGAATGGCAAACGTTCTGGTGGACTATCTTCTGGAACAGTGATAGGCCTTAACTGTAAGGGTATATCTATAGAGCCTTGAGACCAAAAAGAGGAATCTGGCAGAGGTTTGTGATGTGTGGGAAAATGATATTGCAACTGGTCTATATTGGTTTCGGATCCCTAGCACTCTTAGGCCCTACACTGATTACTACCCTTGTCAAATTGCGACTGTCTTGTAGTGGTGGCCACTGGCGGATCTGGGGGGGGGCCTAGGGGCCCGCCCCCCCCCCCCTTTTTGGGTAGGCCCAAAAAAAATTTGGGCCATAAAAGGCCTAAAGCCCCAAAAAGTGGGCCTTTTGGTCATTACTGTGCCTCTAAAGGCATTGTTTTTAAATTTCAGGCCAAATTTTGAAGAAAATGGGCCTCAAAATTTCAAAATTAGGGCCCACTATTGGGTTTAGAGGCCGAAAAATATTTTCCAAGCAAGCAAGGACATTTTTTTCTCTGTCCTGAAATTTGGCCCCCGCCCCTTGTTGGTTCCCAGATCCGCCCCTGGTGGCAGCTGCAGATTCCTCAGTATAGTGGTAGGGCTGTCGGGTTGTCTTGTGTAATGGATCTGGCTCCTCATCTCAGTAATCCCTCTACCTGCCCGATTACCTTCTTTGTGTGAGGTGACCATACAGAAGAGGCATATTCCAGCTGTTTCTTTTCACGTTAGATCATTGTTTTGGGATATATAGCACTGGCGAATCCAGAAACTAAAAATGGGGCCACATTTGAAGCCATGGAAAAAATGTTCCGTGCTTGCTCAGAAATTTTTGGGAAAATTTAAGGCTTTTAATGATTTTGCCGTAAAAGGCCTCACACGACGAAAAGGCTCGTTTTTGACGCCCTTCAAAATTTTTGAGCCCAAAAATTTTGAGGCCCAAATTTTTACTGTGCCCACCCTAGGGGGCCCAGACCCCACCCCGATGTCCCCCCCGGATTCACCAGTGCTAGCTATAGGCTATATTATATATAACCTAGGGTAATAGTTCGTATGACAGGTTTACACTTAGAGTTTGCCTTTCTTGCTAGATTTCTCTACAGTTTTCTGTCTTCCCCTTCTGTCCTGGATGTACTGGTAAACGATCCGGCTTGTGATCCGCAATATAATCAACAGCGGATTTGCAGAACAAAAATAAAATGGCGGAAGCTAAGAGTGCCGAAATGAATGGAGAGAGAAAAGCCAATAAAGTGGCACTTATCACTGGTATTACCGGACAGGTATGTTATCAAATGGTGTAATAGTAACCTAGAAAGTAGTACACTTCATCATTTTGGTAGTTATAGGAATAAAGTTAAATATATAACGATATGAAATAAAAAAAAATCATTTTTTGCCACGTCCAAACTTCAAACTTGGCAAAAGAAATTGTGTTGAAAGTGTACACTTTATCGTCGACAAAAGCCCTCATTTAGGTTTTCTACTGTACATGTGGACTGATGAATTGATAGTTTTCTTTGATATATGCGTTGAAGATAATCATTTTGATTGTTTTTTGGCCTATATAATGGGCGTGACCGATCCAAGGGGGGTGACTCATTCAGATTCACAATCATTCAAAATCATGATCTTTTGAAGATAATCATTTTGATTGTTTTTTGTCCTATATAATGGGCGTGACCGATCCAAGGGGGGTGACTCATTCAGATTCACAATCATTCAAAATCATGATCTTTGTTTGGTTCGTACCACAGATATTGTCCAGATCGTTTTGTAGTAGGATCTCATAGGCTCAAAGAATAATACAGAAGATGCGTCACTAAATCGGAAAATTTAAAAAAAAGTGACCACCTTTCAAAACGTTCCCTATACAACATGGTACCTGCTTCCCCGCCCGAGATCTCTATCTTTCTATTTCTACTTGTTTCGTTCGGGTAAATAACCTATGGATGCAGTTATTTGACTTTTCATCTGGCGAATATTTTTCACGAAATCCGGACTCTTGTGTGTCCAAATATCATTGTACTGATTAGTGTTGTCGCGATGTGCCATAATCGTACATCGATGCATCGGCAATTTCCAGTAGTAAACATCGATGCACATCGCGATGTACATCGGGAAAAAGTCCGAGAAAAATGCACTGAAATACCGAACGCTAATGCACTAAAATACCGAACATCTGGTACATCCGGGAACTTCTAATAACGGTTCATTTCGACTAGCTAAAACAGTTTTAAAGCGAAAGAATATCAGAAAACATTGGAAAAATGAAATAAGACATGAGAAAGGTAAGCGATTTGCGTCAAAATAAGGTAAGAAAGGGTGATTTTTAGCAAATTATTTTTTTAAAAACATCGATGTTTTGTTTCAGACATCGATGCATCGCCAGAATCAGCTTTGGCGATGTACATCGCGATGTATCGATTAATCGCGACAACACTAGTACTGATGACGTCACATTTCTGGAACCACGGGAGCACCATTCAGATTTGGACAGACAAGAGCCCGGCGATAAAATATCACTGTTTTGGCCTCTTATCAACGCAGTATTGCTTGAATAACGGTCATTGGGGATAAAAAAGTTAAAGAACTAGAGATCGAACGATCTAAGTTTGCAAGCAATCTTATGGAGGCCCTATATTCGTTTCTGAACATTCAAAGGCCAGCCAAAGGTCAAATCTCTAATACAAGGTCATATATGAACTCCAGACAATTTGTAGATGATTTTTTAAAAAGGTTTGGTCGAATTAATGCAAGTTGGAATTTGACCTTGAAAAATTCCGAAATTTGACCTTTTTTCAGTTTTTGAGCTATAATATGTCAAAACTGGAGCCAAATTTTAATAGATAATCAATTGCTAATATGTGTAGAACCTTTAGTAGAGGAATATATATTCTGACTTTCATTTCAAAATATTGATTTGTAGTCTCTAATTTTGAGAAACTTAGAAAACACAGTTTGTGATTTCGTTTGATGACCTTGACCTTTGACCTTGCAAATTTTACTTTTTTAGACCTCAGAAGATCTTTTGTGAATAAATATACCTAAATTTGAATCCAGAAAATCGATTTGAAAAATCAACTTTTTTGACCTTTCGGAGGTCACTGAAGGTCAACCAAAGGTCAAAAGTGAGGTTAGATTTGGAATCCTGAGAACTTGTAGATGAGTTTTAAAAAAAATTGGTCAATTTGAAGCAAGTTGAAATTTAGTCTTGAAAAGTTTTGAAATTTGATCTTTTTTCAGTTTTTGAGTTCCAATATCTCAAAACTGGTAACCAATTTTAATAAATAGTCAATTGCTAATATGTGTAGAACCTATAGAGGAATATATATCCTGACTTTCATGAAAAATATTGATTTGTAGTCTCCAATTTTGAGAAACTTAGAAAACACAGTTTGTGATTTAGTTTGATGACCTTGACCTTTGACCTTGCAAATTTTACTTTTTTGGACCTCTTTTGTGATTAAATACACCTGAATTTGAATCCAGAAAATCGATTTGAAAAATCAACTTTTTGACCTTTCGTAGGTCACTAAAGGTCAACTAAAGGTCAACAAAAGGTCAAAAGTAAGGTAAGATTTGGAATCCTAAGAACTTGTAGATGAGTTTTAAAAAAAGTTTGGTCTATTTAGATCAAGTTGAAATTTGACCTTTAAAATTTTCGAAATTTTGACCTTTTTCAGTTTTTTGAGCTCTTATATCTCAAAACTGGTGCAAAATTTTAATAGATAATCAAATGCTAATATGTGAAGAAAAAGTGGAGGAATATATATTTAGACTTTCATTAAACTATATTGATTTGTAGTAACCAATTTTGAGAAACTTGGAAAACACAGTTTGTGATTTAATTCAATGACCTTGACCCTTGACCTTGCGAAATTTACTTTTTTGGACCTCTTCGGGTCTTTTGTGATTAAATGCACTTAAATTTGAATCCAGAAAATCGATTTGAAAAATCAACTTTTTTGACCTTTCGGAGGTCACTGAAGGTCAACAAATTGTCAAGGGTCAAAAGTAAGGTAAGATTTGGAATCCTGAGAACTTGTAGATGAGTTTTAAAAAAAAGTTTGGTCAATTTAGATCAAGTTGAAATTTGACCTTGAAAATTTTCGAAATTTGACCTTTTTCAGTTTTTGAGCTCTAATATCTTCAAACTGGTGCAAAATTTTAAAAGATAATCAATTGCTAATATGTGTAGAACCTTTAGAGGAATATATATTCAGACTTTCATCAAAAAATATTGATTTGTAGTCACCAATTTTGAGAAACTTGGAAAACACAGTTTGTGATTTAATTCAATGACCTTGACCTTTGACCTTGCAAATTTTACTTTTTTGGATCTCTTTTGGTCTTTTGTGATTAAATGCACCTAAATTTGAATCCAGAAAATTGATTTGAAAAATCAACTTTTTTTACCTTTCGGAGGTCACTGAAGGTTAACAAAAGGTCAAAGGTCAAAAGTAAGGTAAGATTTGGAATCCTGAGAATTTGAATATGAGTTTTAAAAAAAAGTTTGGTCAATTTAGATCAAGTTAAAATTTGACCTTGAAAATTTTCGAAATTTGACCTTTTTCAGATTTTGAGCTCTGATATCTCAAAACTGGTGCAAAATTTTAATAGATAATCAATTGCTAATATGTGTAGAACCTTTAGATGAATATATATTCAGTCTTTCATGGAAAAATATTGATGTGTAGTCACAAACTTTGAGAAACTTAGAAAACACAGTTTGTGATCTTGTTTGATGACCTTGAACTTTGACCTTGAAAATTTTACTTTTTTAGACCTCAGTATATCTTTTCTGATTGAATTAACCTAAATTTGAATCCAGAAAATCAATTTGAAAAATCAACTTTTTTGACCTTTCGAAGGTCACTGAAGGTCAACTAAAGGTCATAGGTCAAAACTAAGGTCAGATCTGAGATCTTGTAGATGCTTTTTAAAAAAAAGTTTGGTCAATTTAGAGCAAGTTGAAATTTGACCTTGAAAAATTTCGAAATTTGACCTTTTTTCAGTTTTTGAGTTCTAATATCTCAAAACTGGAGCAAAATTTTAATAAATAGTCAATTGCTAATATGTGTAGAACCTTTAGAGGAATATATATTCTGACTTTCAGTAAAAAAAATTGATTTGTAGTCTCCAATTTTGAGAAACTTAGAAAACACAGTTTGTGATTTCGTTTGATGACCTTGACATTTGACCTTGCAAATTTTACTTTTTTAGACCTCAGAAGGTCTTCTGTGAATAAATATACCTAAATTTGAATCTAAAAAATCGATTTGAAAAATCAACTTTTTTGACCTTTCAGAGGTCACTGAAGGTCAACTAAAGGTCAAAGGTCAAAAGTAAGGTCAGATTTGAAATCCTGAAAACTTGTAGATGAGTTTTAAAAAAAATTTGGTCAATTTGAAGCAAGTTGAAAAAAGACCTTTTTTGACCTTTTTTTGACCTTCAATATCTCAAAATCTAGTCAAAATTTTCCTAGACGGCAAAAGGCTTAGACTAATAGAATACTAATATCTATCTTTTTGCAAAAATTCAGCCAAAAATATTGAAGTGTAGTGTCAGGATTTGAGAAACTTGAAAAAAACTTAGATTTGACCTAGATTTTGACCTTGACCTAGATATGAACTAATTTCCTGACAAGTCCAGCCCAGGTCCCTAATAAGATTATATATGAGATAAGTCAAAGCTAGCTGGAAGTTGGAGAAAAAATGCTAAAAAGAATAATAAATAAATAAATTAAGAAGAATAACTACAAAAATGATAGGAGGCCCCTTGAAGGGCCTCCTAACAACAAGACGCTTCGAATGAGGTATGATTTGTCTCATATTTTTCAGAAATGGCTCCAGAATCGTCATTTTAAATTTGAAATTTTCTGAGGTGTCTCATCTTGAGGAATATTTATTGAGCTACTGATCCTACTACAAAATAATCTGGCTGGGATCTATGGTTCATACTGTAGGAAACAGATTGTGGCCCATGAGTATAAGAGAGCTAATTATCAATTGACAAGATTTATGGTTCTAAATTGAAAATCAGTTGCCATGACCTGGGACAAGTCACTGGAAAAGTGGAATTTTATATTGTCTGAGAGAAATAAAACATGGAAACCTTCAATTTTGAGAGTAAATTGACATGGAAAAGAGGTATATTGGAGTGAAACCCCCGGGGATTTATCGTGTCACCCTACATTTATCGTGTCACCCTAGATTAATCAGGTCACCCTAGAACTGAATTGTTCAGATAACTGGTTGAGCCCTACATTATTTTTTTAAAAGTAGATTTTTCAGTACTAGCTATGTAACAACTTCTTACCTCAATAGATTCCAATACATTTGCTACATTCTCCATTGGTGACAAAAGTTTCATGGCAATCTAAACTTTACGATGTGTTCACTTTAGGTTTTTCAGTTAATGTTATTTCAAAATATCTGCCATCAACAACAATGTAGCAAATGAATTTTGAAATCGATTTAGATACTGAAGAACATCAACTTCAGTAAAATGATGATATAGGACTCGACTGAATCAGTCATCCATAAGACTTCATTTCAGGGTAGGCATGGCACTAGATAAACACCAGATATCTCACAAGTAAAATAAATTGCAATCAAGCCTAAATGGCCAGCATCAAAGGACCAATACATTAATATTTAGATGAAAATCTTGAATTATCTACTTTACAACCAGTAGGGAGGTATATAGTGGGAGGGGTGACAAGGGCTTGGAGTGAAACAATGTAAGGGTATTGTTCTTAATTATTACCCTGGGTGCAGAGTCTAGTTATTATAAACTACGAAGCTCTTCTCTTTTAAGAAGTGAGTCGAAGTTGAACGAATGCAAAGGGTTTTCTTAATATACAGTTTTATTAAAAGTCATTGACTATAACTGACGCTATAACTGACCTACTCATCCAATCTATTTCTTTTAATTTGTTATATATATTTATTTGAATAATGTATGATTGATTTTTTTTTATAGGATGGGTCATACCTTGCAGAGTTTCTACTAGAAAAAGGATATGAGGTAACACACTTCTATTTCTCATTTGACAGTTGTTCTCAAGCATTCTCAATGTTCAAAGCTGTTCAAAATCTAAATTTAAAATCTTATCTGAAATCTAAAATCAAAATGGATTTGATTTTGCTGTAAAACAGTTCTCAAATTCTCAGCTAGCCCAGCATTTTTTATTTAATAAACATCTGTAATTAATATGGATATGGAAACATATTATACACCTTAATCTTTATACATTACCTTGGTCACTATTTGACATTTGTATTCAGCGATAAGACAGAATAATACTGCGATTCTCTCAAACTAATTCTCAATTTGTTTTCCAGGTACATGGTATCATCCGAAGGTCAAGTTCATTCAACACAGGGCGTATTCAGCATCTATACACAGACCAATCAGCTCATCAGGGTGGCAGTAAGTCTGCATTTCAATTTCTTATTTTAAAGATATTATATTCTATTTATAGATTGTGTGGCAGTCTGCATTTCAATTTCTTATTTTTATTAATATTATTTGTAGATTTATATTATCTATACATTAAAAGCTACATTTTTGTTTAATTTATACAAGCTACTTAAAATTATAATTATTGAAATGAACAGAATAGAATGTTTTTAAGGAAGTCATTATACAATGTCTGCTGTACTCTTTTAAATGGTGCGAGTTATAGGCTTTTCTAGATTTGTTTCAATTTTCATATATTTAAGATTAGAAAAAGGCAATGATTGAATTTAGGTGTATTATGATACAAGTACAAATTATATTTAATAAGTACACTTGAATTGTCATTTTATAAGACCAGTTGTGGCTCTATACATATATTTATATATTTCATGTGAAGAATTTAAAACTCATGGTCTTATTGCCAAAGCTTTGTACACCCTCTCAACAATCATTGATCATTGAACAGCTCAAAAGCTCCTGCCCTTAGTGTATCAAATAAATACCAGATACATAATAATTATGAAAGCATAAAATTGAGTGACTCCTATTCTGATTGGAAAGCTGGATTTTGATTAGACATAACCTGATTTAGTGAGGCTAGATCAAAGGAGTATCTCAAACTGCTAGATTGTAGATGAAGCTCTCTTTTAACCTCTTGAATCCCTGGCTCTAAAATCGGTTGAAACCAGAGAATTTTTCATTTTTGCCACCTTTTGACATTTTACTACATACCTATACAACTTTAGATGCTCAGCTTATTAAGATTAGATGGAATAGATCATTTCTACACATTTTAAAACAATTTTTGTGTAACGGATGACATTTTTTCAAATAAGAGCAATTTTAGTGAAAATTTTTGTGACAGATTTTCTTGTCACTCTGGGTTTCAAGGTCATTTGTGAGGTGACGAGGAATCTCGTCACTCCAGGTAGTCACAAGGTTAGAGAAGCAAAATGAAACTATGGGAAATGGTAAGTCTTTCCCTTGTCCTACAATGATTTGAAAATTTGTAAACAATTTCAAATATCACGCTTATATCACATGCAATCTCCATGTCAGAAAGATTGATGTAAATTTTATGAGAAACCCATTATTATGTGACATTTGTTTGCAAGTAGAATTACATCCATTAAATTTGGTAAATGTTTGAAATTTGTAGAAAGTAGAATATAAAAAGTAAACAATTGCTAATCTTAAGCATATTTTGTCTGAATTTGTTTGCAGTTATACTTTCAAAATGGGAAAGACTGAGACATAGATTGTGAAATTCTTTACTTTAAAATATAAATGCTTTAGCCAAGACAATTTTAGAAAAGTAATTGCTGAAAAAATGTGACCCAAATGCTTCAAAGTTTTATTTTGGGTTGACCTGGGTTATTCTAGAATAGTAATAATCCTCTCAGTGGTGTTTCAGATTTGAAGTGATATTTTTCTATGTTATCAAAGTTCCTATTGAAGTAGTAATATATGCTAGTAATGAAAGTAAACACTTAAATGTTTGCCTCTGTTATAGCGTGTTTGCATCTGGCATAGGTATAACAACACACATCCTGAGGAAGATAAACAACTAAATCTGATTCAAGAATAATCTTAAATCCTATATTAATTACGAGGAATAGAATGAAGTTAAAGAGTGTAAAACATCAAAAGGGGTTATTTGCTTTACATTGCTAATTTTTCTGAAAAATTGAGATATCGATCAAATATGGATGTTATCGAAGATTTAAATGCTAAAATATCTTAAATTCAGGGGACATTTTTTCACTTTTATTGATAACCTTAAAAATTGAAGGATTTTACTGGAAAAAAAGTCAGAACTGTTGCGCATTTTAGAAAATAAGCATGAAATAGAATGATGAGGGCAAAAAAACTTAATTAATAAACTGTGACAATATTTTCAAAGCTTATTCTCAACTCATCGGTTTCTCTTCTACTTCCTTTTATGTCACAAAACCAATTTACTCTTCTTCAGTTGGTGTAGTATTTTCAGTGAAAGGAAGAGCTGCGATTATTGGCAAATATCCCTATGGTCAAAATGAATCATTATTAGGTGTAACATGAAGAATAGAATGTCATATAATACTTTGGAAAATATTAAAGTGCTCAGTATACTCATTTTGAAAAATCAGATGATATTAATTTTTTTTCATGGGGAGATCACAATGGCAAGCGCATTACTTCCTTTTGTATGTGCTGGGGTTTCACTAGAATTTCTCACAACCAGCTAAATAAATGAAAACAACAGGCGAAATGAATGGAAATCATAAATGTAACATGGAAAAGTCCCTAAAAACAACAGGCGATTTTGTGAAAACAACCGGTCACCTGTTGCCTGCTGCCCCGATGTGTGTATATAGGTCCATTAAGCCATTTTAAGAATAGTTCAAACACTGTGTAACAAACATGTTAAAGAAGGGTTCAGACATCGAGTATTTGTGATTTATTCTTTCCAAAGTACTACTTATGTAAGACTACAATGTATTCTAAATCTTATATTGTTTGTTTAGTTCCTGTATTAACTTCAGACTTTTAAGTTAGGCTTTGTAGGGTCAACATTTAGACTTGTTTGCTATTAGAACATCATAGTGATACACTGTTTAAGGATAATTTAATGAAAACGCCAAAAAAAGTAATGTTCATGGTTCTGTACATTCTTTTGTTTGTAGGATCTTATGCGTGTAATTATATTCGAAGGTTTTAAAGCAAAAATAATTACATTTGCACAGTTTCATTAGTTATTACATCTAGGATTTTTTAAATCTTTCTTTAAAATTTTCAATTAACACATTTTAAAAATCTCAATACACTTTAAGATTTCAACAAATGTTTTAATTCTCTTCTTTTTAAAAATCTCGAAACATTTTCTAAATCTCAATACATTTAGTTTCATAGAGGTTTAATTATCCCATCGAACGAAGTTCGGAGGGATATAGAGAAAGCCTCCGTCCGTCTGTTTTGTTAATATAGTCCAGGGACCCAGTTATGTCTTATTTATTGAATCCATGCAGGGAAGGGGAGTGTTTCCATGGACTTAAACGTTAAACCCACCTATGCCCAGTCACAAGCCTGAGGAACCTGCTTTTATATCTAATGTGGATTTTTATCTTACCAATCATGACTTAAATATTAATATGGGTATTTCCTATAATTAATATATACTGGATTTTAACTTACCAAATATGACTTCAATATTAATATGGGTTTAAACCTATAATGTATTAAATACTGGATATGACAAGTAAATAAAATCAATTATAATCTACCTATATGATGTAGATATCCAAATGTTGGTCTGAATTTATCTTTGTGGAAAGATTGTATGCTTCAGTTGCTCTTTAACAAAACATGTGGGACAGTGTATCTATATATTACAAGATGTCCGTCCGTCCGTCCGGGCAATAACTCAAATACTGTGGCCCGATTTTGTTCATATTTTGTACACATATACCCTATGGGGGTAGAAGTTCTGCTCGAAAGCCGATTTTCAAAATGGCCGCTCATTTCAAAATGGCGGCCATTTTAGTGCCGAATTCACAGTAATTTAGGTGCAATATGTAAAACTGTAATAGCAATATGTTTTAGATGTAAAAAAATTATATAGGACATTAATAAAGCTAGAAATGTAGATATTAAAGAAGCACATGGCAGCCATCTTGAAAAATGGCGGCATTTACTCGTTATTTTACGATTTTTGCTGTAATTCGAAAAGTAGTGGATCGATTTTGTTCATATTTGGTATGTGAATACTATAAACATTGCACACTGTCTAAAGACACTTTTGGTAGAAGGTGGCCATTTTAAAAAATGGCCGCCATTTTGAAAAATGGCCGCCATTATAACCTATTTTACTATAACTCGAAAAGAAGTGAAGCGATTTTGTTCATATTTGGTATGTGAATACTATAAGGATGGCACACTGTCTAATGACACTTTTGGTAGAAGGCGGCCATTTTTCAAAATGGCCGCCATTTTAACATATTTTACTATAACTCGAAAAGTAGTGGAGCGATTTTGTTCATATTTTGTATGTGAATACTAAAAGCATGACACACTATCCTATGACACTTTTAGTAGAAGGTGGCCATTTTGAAAAGAATTTTGAAAAATGGCCGCCATTTTAATGTATTTTATAATAATTCGAAAAGTAGTGAAGCGATTTTGTTCATATTTGGTATGTGAATACTATAAGCATGGCACACTGTCTAAAGACACTTTTGGTAGAAGGCGGCCATTTTTCAAAATGGCCACCATTTTAACGTATTTTACTATAACTCGAAAAGTAGTGGAGCGATTTGGTTCATATTTGGTATGTGAATACTATAAGTATGGCAAATGGTCTAATGACACTTTTGGTAGAAGGCGATCATTTTGAAAAATGCCTACCATTTTTGCTATATAATTTGTTTGTAAAAATGCCATCCATGGCTGTTCGATGGGATTCGCTGCGCTTTGGCGTTGCCGTTGTTCTGGTTTAATCAACCTGCTGAATCATACATAGCTGAATTGTTTGAAATTGTGTTATGCAATGTACATGTGTTCTGAACATACAATGCACATGTTTACTCATCATTAATCAAGCATCTTCAGTCAATAGAACATATTTGAGTTAATGAAAATCAATAGTTGCCAAGCCTCCTTACAATGGACCAGTTCTATATAGATTTATATTTGTCTACATGTCTGCATGTGCTAACTACAAAATCAATTGAGCTTAAAAACAGAAAAAATAACAGAAAACAAATTCAAATTCAAAAGTTTACTGTTAAACTCATCTGAAGTGAACAGTAGTTGACAAGAGCTATACAAGGCAGTGATAAATTACAAAGTTGATGGCAGAACACTACTCAATAATAACTTCTTAACATCAATATCCTTATAAGAACATGCAGGAATCCTTTATATAGGCCCCATTTATTTCTTCCATTGACTCCATGCTAACTGCTTATAACATATGGGTAAGCAAATGTGCCAAAGGGCAAAAGACCAAAGCCGAAAGGGCATTACAACATGCAAGAAAAAGAAATGTTTTAGGGTATCACCAGCCATAAAAAAAAACATGCCATTTATTGCAATACACTCAAGTAAACATTTGTGGCGGAAATTCTCAGCCTCAAATTTCAAATTACTGTTAATAACAGGGTAAGGGTAATCCTGATATGAATATTGTTTGAATGATCATGTAGTATTTATTGTTACTCGTATATTTCATTGTTCATGTACTTCAAGGTATGAAACTACATTATGGAGATCTGACTGACAGTACCTGTTTGGTGAAGATCGTTTCTGAGACACAGCCAGATGAAATCTACAATCTTGGTGCTCAAAGTCACGTCATGGTGAGTTGCCCTTTAGGGAAATAAAACTGATGTTATTTATAGGACCCGGAGTTATAAAAAATATCAGATATTTTCTTTTTATTCTACTTTTGCTATATATGTAGCTAGAAAATATTAATTATTTTGTGAAATCTCAATTGTTTATAATATTTCTCTCCTACCTTTGTTATTAGATTCGACACGTATTGTGTATTGTTCCAAACCATGTACAGGGTGTCCTAAAAGAGTGGGACCTAGAAAGTGGGTCATAAAGATTTATAAAATAATCTCTAAAAGTTTTATGAAGTATAAATGGTATCAACTGAATATCTCTTGCAATTTCTACACTCTTTGTTTTAAAGAGTAGTAATAAAAGTATTTACACATCAAGCGTTCAATATAGAAAGGTGAAGGTTACAATCAGTATATTTCACACTGTACATGTGTATCTTTTTTTCTATATCTTTTTGTTCATTCCAAGGTGTCATTTGAACTGAGTGAATATACAGCTAATGTAGATGCAGTAGGTACATACAGACTCTCTAAAGTGTACACTCTTTACACATGTATATCTTTTTTTCTACATCTTTTTGTTCATTTCAAGGTGTCATTTGAACTGAGTGAATACACAGCTAATGTAGATGCAGTAGGTACACTGCGGTTATTGGATGCAGTAAGGACGTGTGGTCTCTCAGACAAGGTTAAGTTCTATCAGGCTTCCACCAGTGAGTTATATGGCAAAGTCCAAGAGATTCCACAGAAAGAAACAACTCCATTCTACCCTAGGTCACCTTATGGTAAGCATTTATCATCTATGCACATTTTGATGTCAACACCAAAAATTGTTATGGTCTCCGTTTTGTTTTATCTTTTTAAGATCAAAAAAGGTCAAAAAGGTCTTTTTCAACTTGCTTCAAATTGACCAATTTTTTTTCAAAGTTATCTACAAGTTATCAGAAGTTCACATTAAAATTTGACCTTCAATGACATTCTCAGGGTCAAAAAAGATGACCTTCTAGGTATTTTTTCATTTTGCTTCAAACTGACCAATTTTTTTTTCAGAATGTACTGTAATACAGTCATTTCAGTATATGAGTATATGTATCATTGTTCACAATACGATTTATCTGGTAATACAATCTGTTGTGGATCAAATTGCCCCAAGGCCCAGTATTTTGTAAATTGCTACCCCATGATTTTGTCCAACTGTATATACATTTTTTTGATAAAACTATATTTCAAGAATAAATATATATACACTTACACATAGTTACATTGTTTAATATCTGAGTTTTTCCTTTTCAAAATTTGCACATATGTTACCTTTTTTGTCTTGATTAAAAATGTGTACAACAGTATTATATATACATTGTAGGTGTTGCTAAGTTGTATGCCTATTGGATAGTGGTAAACTACCGTGAAGCTTACAACATGTATGCATGCAATGGTATCCTTTTTAACCACGAGAGCCCCAGAAGAGGAGAAACATTCCTCACTAGGAAAGTAACCCGTTCTGTAGCGAAAATCTCACTCGGACAGCAGCAATATGTAGAGCTAGGGAATTTAGATGCTCAACGTGATTGGGGACATGCAAAAGATTACATCGAAGTAAGTGAAAATGATAAAGTTATCAAATTAAGAATCTTTCTTACTTTTCTTAGTTAAAACAAACATGGTGCTATTACTGACATTTGGAATCTATTCTTATGGTAATATAGAAATAGTGTGAGTATTTTTTTTAATTGTCTGTATTCCAGTGAATTAATAAAAAGAATAAATGGCCAGAATTCTAAAAAAATAGAATTCACAATGAGGCAAGAAACCCCCTAAAATAAGAATAGCATGTTTTACAGTGCATCATTGATTTATTATTTTAGACACATATACATTGTTCAAAAGAAAAACTAAAGCTTTAATTAAAGAGAGAACAATATATCAAAGTCATGGATAATTCAATATTTGATTAATATTTCAGGCAATGTGGCTGATGCTGCAACAGGACAAGGCAGAAGATTTTGTGATATCAACGGGGGAGACAACACGAGTACGTGACTTTGTGGTGGAAGCATTCAAGCATGTTGGAACAGATATTGTGTAGGTTTTAAATTAATAGTGCTTATCATTGAATAGCCATCTCTTAATGAAAGCTTCAAGGGCCTTATCCCTATTTGCAATTTTCTCCTGTTTGAAAAAAAATCGTCCAGCTTTTTGCTTAACTGAATTAGGATATCTGCTTGACGTTTTTTTTTTCAAAATGGGTTAAGGTAAATCCGCATGATGAGAATGTTTATGGGTAAGGATAGAGAGAAGCTGTCTAACAACTTGTTCAAACCATTCTCCTGTTCATCCAATTTCCAGATTTTATTTAAAATGATCTCTTAATTCAAAATGGCTGCTGTTTTCCTCGAAATTGTTGTTTTGGCTAAAATTTGAATGCTTGTCATACATGTATTTAAAAGAATGATGCTTTATAAGTTTATAATCTTCGATCCAGAGGGATTTCCCAGATGGCTGGAAAAATTCTAAATGGTTTAATACTGTGTTGTTTTCAAAATTGCTGCTCATTTCAAAATGGCCACGATTCCTTGTTAAAGTTATCAATTGATCTATCAATTATTTTGAGCTGCATGGCACACATACATGAAAATGAGATGTGATTTGACAGAATATGATTTGTTTGGATGGGATTCGCAACCTCATGGACTTGCTATGTACTGAGTTAATGAAAAGAATAATATTTTTCACATTTTTATGTTGATATTGACCAATCAAGAAAGAATGTGTATTTTCAAAATTGGAATATTTTGATTCATGACATTTCTCCATTTTTGTAACACTGCTTACTGTTTTGGTGCATATTTGAAACAGTTATGCTTAATAGTTGTAATATAAGATGTTTTCCTCAAAATGGCTTATGCTCTATAGGTTTAAAATATTGTTTGAAAGTACTCGGAATAATTTGAATGTTCATTGGAATTTGCAACATTTAGGTTGTTGTTATCTTATATTTATCGTATTCTCTGTAATTAGCCTGAAATATGGAGGAATGACCAAGTATTAACAAACTTATCTGAAAAAATCTCATATGAGTGTGCGATAATAGAGTACTTACATTAAACTGCTGTAACATGAAGCATTTTGTAATTCGATACATCCTCTGATAAATATTCTATCATTGGTTACTTCCCACATTATACTAAACTAATATTATCTCAAATTACTCTATATTAAATGAAGGAATCGTTCAAGTTTAAGAATTTTGATCGGCATTTTACCAAGATAGTTTCTGCACAGGATTTATGTGCATGTCAAAAGTTCTTAACATTTCTCGTTTCATTTTGACATTCCTACCCTTTAACCCAACTTTCACATAGAAAATGATGATATATCATCAAATTAAAAGGATAAGGTATAACTTTAGATTGATATCCAACAGTCTTTAGTGGAAATATGGAGGATGATCAGGGGAAAACAATTCTTTCAATTCGAGGGGCTCTGTTGGGGATTTCATCAATCACTGTCAACATTGTCTATGTTATTTCCAATGAACATGAAATGATAAATACTATAAATGTGCATTTATTTTTGAATTCTACCAGATTATCTTGTATTGAGGGCCAAAGGGGTCTGCTGAAGAAGAAAGTTCTTTCTTTGGAATTCTGGATTCACCTATCCTCTATAGTCAATACCATGTTGGTATAGATTTTACTTTGATTTCAGCTGGGAAGGCGAAGGTGTAAATGAAATTGGAAAAGACAAAGTTACAGGTGTAATAAGAGTGAAAGTTAACGCTAAATTTTACAGACCTACTGAAGTGGTAAGTACGCAGACTTTATAGCGCCGAATTATTTATTTTGTAAAATATCTAGATATCCTATGTTTTAACATAGAAGAGCTCACAAGGGCTTGGAACTAGACTAGGATCTTCTCATTTATTTACATATTCTATGCATTGTACACAAAAGCACAATACAACACAGTATGCTTCCATGAATGCTATTCTTCTTTTATGACAAGATTGAAAATAAAATTTTAAAAGTAGATTGATCAAACAAGATTCACAGTCACTCAAGCTGAAATTTATAAACATATTTCTTATATCAGATTGCATTCATCAATTTTAGTAAGTATTCTTTAAATGAATTTCAGCTTCTATCACATCCAGATCAAGAATAACAGAAACGTTAAGAATTGTTCAGTTTTTGCAATTGCATCAATTTTTCAATTGCTGTTTGTCTTTTAACCTGAAGTACCTCCATCTTTAGCTGATGTTCGGCATTAAGACTCTCATACTTGGCATCATAGTATCTGTTTATGTTCTCTAACACCTGTTCATGTCTTCGTTTAATGTCATCATTGTATAAACAAGGACGATCAGTAGTTTGTGTGATGTGTTGATCTGTTATTGGGTGGTATATCTGTCTCACACCAGTGTGTGAATGTGTGGTAGCCACGCTGTTTTGTATTGACATATCAGGAGAATTAGCCACATCATTTTGTGAATGAGTCACAATATTATGGGTACTAGCCACACTATATTGTGGTTGGGTATGTGTGGGGCCATTATATAAGTGTTTCATTGCATTTCCATCATTGCTTTCATTACCATCCAATTTTCGTTTAATCCCAGGAGCATACTGTTTTTCATTTTCTTCAATGGCCGATGTTTTACCACTTCTGTCCAAATATGGTGTTTTGGTGACTTCTACATTTTGTGGATTATCCAGCTCAAACGATTCTGATTGGTTGTCATTGACTGGTCTATCCTGAAGTTCTATTTTAATGATCTTGGGAACACTCACGTCGGCCAGACTGGAATTAATATTGACAAATCTATATAAAGCAAGATGCTGACTCTCTACCCAGATGCGAGTAGGTAGTTATCAGTTTTGCCACCAGGTGGCTGGTTCAGGGGAAATAACACAAACTTGAATATTCATCAGTTTTAGTAGTTCACCTTTCATATTACCTTTATGTAATATGAAAGGTGAACTACTACTTAATGCATATATTATGTATGTATTTATACAAAATTGAAATATGTCCAGTAAAAGGAAATATTATCTGCCCAACACAAGATAGATGTTTCAATTTTTGTGATTTCACAACAGGGGGTCTATGGGGATTCTCCCTCACCTAGAAGTCACATTTTCTAAGAAAATTAAATTTCAAACTCTTTTCAAAACCACATTTCTAGATGTAATTTTACATGTAGATTCTAAATGTGACATCAGTTTGAAATTTGAACTTTTAATGACGTAAATCAAGATTATTTCTACTCACATCTAGTCAAGTATATTGTATTAAACAGTCATTTATAAAGTATCTTATATTCAATCAACATAAAATATTGTAAAAGTAAATACAATAACAAATATATTACAATGATATGATATGCAAGCAAGTTACATTATATTCTATCACGTTTATTTCTATTTTCTTACCTGACATTGCTAGCCTCATTCTGATCATTTACGCTATTAGCAGGCATGAAATACTCTGCATGTTGGATATCTTGTGGAGTCCTTGCATTGTTTGAAGTTTCGACCTCTCGCAACATCTTGTAAATCCGCAGTCCAATTGAGTCCCTGTCTGACGTTAGGATCTTCCCTTCGTCCTCCAATTCCCGCCCTTCTTTACGTGCTTGCTGTTTCAGACGCTTCCAGCATTCCTTCAGTTGTTTTGTGTCTCGAGCTGTGGCCGTCCCAAATTTTTTCATATAATTTTTATAAATAGCCGCCCAAGCCTCATTTTTACATTTCAGCCAATCGGTGCTCACTCCTTTATTATCTATTATGCTGATTCGTTTCGCAATCTCCTCAAGGATGAACTCTTTCTCTGCACTGGTCCAGTTTTCACCACGAGAGCCCCTGTTCTTGTATACAGTATTATGCATCTTGTATCTTGACCCCATTTGGTGTTCTTGGTTCATATAATCCATACGTTGCATGTTTAGTTTTTATTCTCCACTTCTTTATTTTTGTAAATATTTCCGATACTGATTGAGATGGTCTTAATCAAATTTTTTTCTTGTTTGGCGCTTTGAAAGCATTTTTTTGTTGTAATTTCTCTGTGAATTGATTTCTTGAACTTAGTATTGTTGATATATACACAATGTATATTCAGTATTACAAATCTTCTTTAATATTTTATCTTATTGTATTATGTGTGTCTATTGTGCTATTCCTATTACCTGCTGTATTTACAAAACACATCAACATTTTCATCTGCTAATATAACAGATTCTACATGTACAGACTAGTTTCAAAAATACTTCTTTATCCTAGCACTGTTCGACATGTAATTTTATTTGAATACCTTAGCTAGTTTTGACTGTGTTACATGTTCTTTATATTCTGCTTTAATAGTTTAGTATTAAACAGAACTGCTTGATAAAGACTAAAATCTAATATAAGCTGTACATTGCCCTGGATAGCTATTGATCCAACACACTAAGCCTGCTTAACATTAAGCCTAGCTTACCCGTACACAATTTACTAAATTAGTGGTTAGTTTAATGTTTAATATCTGTCATCAGTTCATCTTATACTAGGGCTATTGTAAATGTATGGCAGGTACTTTGACTATTGAGATAGTTTATACATGTATATTGATGGGCTTTTGGTTTAGTGATTATTGTTTTAATTTGGTTGTTATTTCTAGTAGGATGTTTTGTCAGAGTAAGATCTTGTTTCTAGTGCTGCAATCTCTAGCTGGGATTAATTGCCTAGCAATCAAGATAATATGGATTTGAGACATCACTGAATGAATCAATATTTATTAATTTCATTTATTAATTTCATCTGACCTTTATACATCATTTAATAAAACAAGTCCAAAACTGCCAAGATTTGGAGAATGTTCATTTATTAGGTTCTGACACGAGAGGGTGACTCAGTTGAAATTAAATATAAAGCTACCAAAGTGGTTTACAATGAACAAATTGAAGAAATCTACCTGTATGATCTACTTGTACAATAAAACCTGTCCAAGTAAAACACCTTTGATACCTCTAAAAGATGTTTTACTTTGGAAGTGTTCCACTTATAGAGGTTCATTTAACTTCAGTATAGGTCACTGTGAAAAGTGTTCCACCAATAGAAGTGTTCCACTTTTACGTTTCATTGTACTTTAATGGAAAATTCATGTCCAGTACTGTAGTCTATTTCTCATGGAATTGGAATATTTGTGAGAAAATCTGAGATTCCTCTCCTGAGAGCATCCTATAGAAATTTACTTTCTCTTATGAAACAAGCATAATGTTACTTTCAACACAATTTTGATTACAACTTGAAAACAAATTACAGCAGGTTTTCTTGAAAAATGCATCTTTTCAGGGGATCCTTCTCTATTCTTCCTTAACCCTAACCTAAATGTTTGTCATTTATGTATTTTCAGGACATTCTGCTGGGTGACTGCTCAAAAGCTAAGTCTAAGCTAGGCTGGCAGCCAAAGTACAATCTACATGTAAGTAGCTTGCTTATAAATATCATGTAACTTAAAAGAAATGACATAACACAGAAATAAAAAAATATACAGAAATGACAAAAAAGTATAAAAAAAAGAAAAATAGTGAAATTACATAAAATATCAAGAAATTACATAATACATTATTTGTATATGGTGAAATTACATAATATTTAGAAATGATATAAAATATATGTAAAATGTATAAGGAGAAATGACACAAATCATTAAAAGATTGTAATTGTGAAAGACTATATATTTGCTGCAATTACAACAAAAGCACTTATGTGATTGCAAATATTTTATTTCAATTATATTTTAATTGCAGACTCTTTGCAAAGAAATGGTGGAAAGTGATCTCTCTTTAATGAAGGCAAACCCAATAGCTTAAGATCATGACACAATGAGTTGACACATCATCATTTCTGGGACACATCATTATTTCTGGGACACATCATCATTTCTGGGCCATGGTATGGGAATACAACATCTTAGATCCAGACGGGAACAATACCTGGGAACCATAAGCATAGAAATCTGGAGATATGTTCTATTATATGCACACACCAAATCTGTATCATCTTCATGGAGGACTTAACAGTATTGATTAAGCGCAAAGCTGTACAGCTGTTATGGCAGCACTGTATGGGACTGCATTGGGACCTGAGCTCAATCAGTTCTGCTTCAGATCTGTTTAAACAACATTGCTGTTAAATGAACAGCACTGTGAGTGTTGTAACAGAACATAGAATTTCTATGGACAGTGATCTCCCCAGCATTAAAGCAAGTGGGCACAGCACCCACCTGAAATTTTCAAAACAGCCTTGCACCCACCTGAAAATCCATTTGCACCCACCTAAAAATGAGAAAATTCACGAAAAATGGGCATATTTTGACCAATTTAGGTCTGAATTGTGAAAATGAGAATTTTGCACCCACTTGAGAAAAAATCCTGTGGAGAACACTGATGGAGATGGGACTGTTACACTGTTTCTTGAACTTAATGGGAATGTTACACTTTTACTGAAGCTGCTGTCCATCTGGCATCAATTATTGCCTGGTGTATTTAGCATTTAGCACTGGTCAGTTGTACAAGATTCATTTACAATGTCCAGTAGTACACATTTTGCCATGGACAGTTGTATGACATCTTTATGACATCTTTATGACATCACATTACTGTGATATTCCTAAATTATGCTACTTACAACTGACCAATTAGCAGTTGAGTTAGGGGATGCACAAATGTACATTCCAGTCTATTTCAGAGCCCTCAGAAAATACCATATGAGTGTATACTGGACTGTGCAATATACAATCAAAACTTAACTTTTTAAAAGGCATTTGAAATATTGCTCCCTCATGTTGGGCAATTTGAATTTTTCCAACTGTGATATTATTAAAATCTTGTACCGTCCCTTTATATAGTTCCATTGCGTTATCAGGATATAACTAAATTATAAAGGGCCAGGGCCATGAACGCATATCAAGAAACAGTTTTCTATGAATTTTCAAAACTCATTTTTCCTATATATTTTTATGAAAAGCCAGGATTCAGAAAGATCACCTGAAGAACTATCACCTTATTTCAAGTTCTGTTATTTTGGGATGAATTCCCTTATTATGGGATAAGTTATGTTATTTATGGGATGAATTCTGTTATTATGGGAAAGGTTTTGTTATTATGGGATAAGTTCTGTTATTTTAGGATGAATTCTGTTATTATGGGAAAAGTTTTGTTATTATGGGATAAGTTCTGTTATTATGGGATGAATTCTGTTATTATGGGATAAGTTTTTTTATTTATGGGATGAATTCTGTTATTAAGGGAAAAGTTTTGTTATTATGGGATAAGTTCTGTTATTATGGGATGAGTTGTGTTATTATGGGATAAGTTTTTGTTATTTATGGGATGAATTCTGTTATTATGGGAAAAGTTTTGTTATTATGGGATAAGTTCTGTTATTATGGGATAAGTTCTGTTATGATGGGATGTGTCACAATGTGTTCATTGAGAAAACAAGCTTTTATTCCACTACATTATACATTCCAAGTAAAAGTTTTTAGCTATGTTAAGCTAAAAGATGGAAATGACCTTATTGGTTTGGCATTTGTTTTTGAATAACCTTTTGTAGGGTATTTGTTGGCAAATGGCTTTCAGCATTTGCTGTCGAATTTTTTTGAATCTTCATCTTGACAAATAGAGAATTTTTGTTTTGTGTTTATCTCTCCTGTTAAACTGAATCTCATGATAAATGAAACTTTTGGACAATACGTCTGTTTAGAGTACAGTTTTTGTCAAGAAGGATGAAGGACATTTTTAAATTCAAACTGAGGGTCAATCAAAAAGTTCTGCTACAATCTGACACTGTCTCAGTTTGTATAGAAGTATTATAGCAAAGCAGTTGTGATATTGTAGATATTAACACTAGGCTTTAATTTGGTAAAACTGAAGTATGGGATAATTATTTATAGCTTTATATGAATAACTTAAATGTAAATTCACTAGGTGGGAGACATCATATTGCAAAAGCTGTGCATGTTCAGGTACCAGTAAGATGTCAATTTGATCTGTAAAATGGAAAGGAAAATAATTTTTTAATTCAGAACTACAAGATGAGTGTTTGTGTGAACAAAGTTAAATACTTCATGGCGTGAATTTGAATACTTAATAGGGTTGTTAAAACTAGTGAAGAGTGGTTTAGCACAATGTTTTTAGCTTCGTAACGCATTCACCAGATTTATGCATAAGAGTTGAATTTAAGCGAGATGTAGTTGTGGATACGTTTTAGCTATAATCCAGTGTGCGAAACCTCTCTATTCCGGGGCTTTCCAAAATGATAAAGATGTGAATCGTGTTATGGAATACACAGTTAATGTCTCTTTTCCATCCTTAAATGGTCATTTAAACTTCTAGTCCATTCTAAAAACCATTTAGTGGGCCAATGAAATTGTAATTATAGTGTAAAATATAGATTGCAAATTGCAGTATGAGTGCATAAGAATCAATTTATAAAGTTTTTTTTATTATTATGGTCTGTGTATGACTTTTGTTAACTCTTTATCACCATTTTGAGTTCAAGAATCGGAAAATGCAAAAGAATCGATTTTACTGCATCAATGGAGAGGAGCTCATTGGTGTCTGTAAAGATAGAAGGGGGGATAGTAATTCACTATTTTCTTATAGGTAGATTTAGTTGTTATGTTTGTCCTTAAATGATATGTTATATTATACAAGACGGTATTGATATATATTTTGAAATCTGTTAGACTTGATCAATGTAGAATAAAATGAAATTGTATATGCATTGAATCGAAATCAACAGTATTTATTCTATGTATGAGAAAGTACTTCTATTATGTTTCTAATAACTGTTAATATCTTCCTAAATGATCTTGAAATATTATGATTCATAATGATACATAACATACACAATCAAGATAATATAACTTACTCGATCAACACTTTGACTTAAATCTTTTCTGTAATTACTGAACCTTGAAAACTTCATCCATGTATCAAGTATAAAGTGCTGTCTAAAATAGAAAAAAGTTCTATTTTTTACTTTAAACTTTGCTTCCCTCTAGTTGATTTTCATGCTTTGATATTTTTAAAAGAATCTTTGTGTTAAAGTCTTTGATTGTGTAAGTAACATAATACTGTGAATTCGAAGTATTTTAGGGTTATTTAGTATAACATTTACAGTTATTGGCCCTTTAAATGGACCAATGGTCCAATGTTTATTATTCTAAGGAAGCTCTATAAATTGTATTAAGCTAGAAAAGCACATTATTGATCATGTACATGTAATACATTATTCCCATGATTTGATTAATGCTCTGTTGCCCCATTGTACAGTTGGGTTCCAGTGGATTACATGTAATAGCACCCTTTATCACTTAAAGGGGCACAGTGCCGTTTGCTGATCCTAAAATACACAAAAATAGAAATAAATCAGAAAAAACACAGAGAATTTTCTGTAAAAATTAGCTTGAAAAAGAGTCCTCACATTGTTTGTAAAATAATGGCCTGTGAAATGTGAAAATTACAGGTTGTTCGGAATCGAATAATTTAGGGTGTTTTAGATACAGATTCCTTTTTTGTGTTTGTAACATTGGAACATTTGAATCATGTGAATTGTTTGTATCATTTAGACATCAAACAGTGTAATATGTGCTATGATCAATTTGATGCTACCCTTGCATTACACTGTATCAAAAGATAGCAGAAGTATGCTATAAAAGTAATGTTTTGAAATACATTGAACAAGCACTGTACTTTGGGAGGTTATTTTAATACACTGTAAATACAAATAGGTATAATATGAGAAATAAATACACATACAGGGGTGTGTGAAATTGAAATATAATAATGATGTGTTGTTAATAGATAATATTGAATATGCGTATTTAACAATATCTCTTAGAATTAACCCAATTTAGTAGGCTTATATGAAACACCTCTGAAAAATCATCATTGACCTTGAAGTTGTTCATGTTTTTCAGTGTGTCGTATCAAAGCCAAAGTTATGGCTTTTAAAAAGCCATTAAACTTCTGAACTTACATTATGGGATCCACAGTCATTACTATCCCTTGGCTTAGAGAGCAAACTTTAGATAAAGAGACAGTCTGATAAATCAGAATGCTGAACCAAACTCTGGACTGATTCTCATGGGGCCATGGGCATTAAAGCAAATGAAAGCTGTAATTAAACTTTTTATTGATTGGGCAGACCTGATTGATGAGATTCATTGACCAAACATTGTTTATATCCCTCAAAATAACAGCATTGGGCAGTAATGTGAAAGCCATTGAAAACATGAATTGACCATATAACAAAGGATATATTTTTAAATCTGGTATTACTTTTAAAAATGGATCTTAAAAATTAATAAACAAACTTAACGTTTTTCTAATGTGAGAATACATACTAATGAGAGCATTAATTTATAGAGAATATATACTTGTGAATGGGCAGATGGGAAGAGTAAGATTACTGGTGAAATATTTAGAGGTTATTTAATGGAAGAGATGGAATATGGATTTAATCCAGGGGAAATATGATATTGGCTAAGGAAAATATATTGACCGAGGACGACAGCCCGAGTGTCAATATGATATGATAATTTCCGAGGCCAATATCATAGACTATTTCCTCCAGGAAAATATTCATATTTCATCACTATCTATTTATTCCATTATATGTATTTTTTCTAAAAATTATTCATTTTCCAGTTTGGCTTTTATCACCCAATGATAGTGACATACAATGATACAATTTGAGTTATACATTTTCATTTTTTATGAACGAAAAAATCAAGATAAACCCCTGGGAAAAGTTCTTATACACCGGTGTGAAAGAAATTATGGTCCCCTTTCTTAACGGCCCTTACTGGCCCTGATTGCGTATTAGATAATAAGGGAAAGAGGTCACCATATAAATCAATGAAGGGCAGGACCATATTTTGATAGGACCTCCTGCCCTTTTACACCTGGTCTGATACGGGATTTTGGCTGTTATGGGATCTGATACGGGGTTTTTCGAATATCAATTCTATTCCCTGGTTTATTTCCCAGGGAAAACATATCATCATTGAATAATGATTATTTATCCCATGTCGATACTACTACTTCCCGGTTAATAACATTGGGGAATATTTTTGATATTGAAAAAATCATATCGTCCCTCCTAATCGCATTCGCGAAAAGGGATTTTGGCTGTTATCGGATCTGATACGGGGTTTTTCGAATATCAATTCTATTCCCTGGTTTATTTCCCAGGGAAAACATATTATTATTGAATAATGATTATTTATCCCATGTCGATACTACTACTTCCCGGTTAATAACATTGGGGAATATTTTTGATATTGAAAAAATCATATCGTCCCTCCTAATCGCATTCGCGAAAAGGGATTTTGGCTGTTATCGGATCTGATACGGTGTTTTTGAATATCAATTCTATTCCCTGGTTTATTTCCCAGGGAAAACATATTATTATTGAATAATGATTATTTATCCCATGTCGATACTACTACTTCCCGGTTAATAACATTGGGGAATATTTTTGATATTGAAAAAATCATATCGTCCCTCCTAATCACTCTCGCGAAAAGGATTTTGGCTGTGATCTGATACGCTGTTTTTTGAATATCAATTCTATTCCCTGGTTTATTTCCCAGGGAAAACATATTATTGTTGAATAATGATTATTTATCCCATGTCGATACTTCTACTTCCCGGTTAATAACACTGGGGAATATTTTTGATATTGAAAAATTCATATCGTCCCTCCTAATCACTCTCGCGAAAATGGTATTCACCTGTCAATCCCTCTAGCGAAAACAGGGAATTTCTGACAAAATAAGCTAACCAACTTCATTCAGTTTGGTCGGTAGTGAGTCTAATGGTTTTCTTATGTAAAACGTATGTAAAAAACAGTATTTTCCAAACAGTTGAGATTATGAAATCTAAGTGGTGTGAGCCATGTAAGCGTGACAATATGAGATTTCTTGACGGGCCTCTACCCCTGTTTATTGGTTAAATAGAGTACTGATGGGGGTTTCTTCTGGTGGGAATACATACTTATACTGAATCATTTAAAGTACATACAGTAAAACCTGTAAAATGGAACACCTCCATTCTGATACTCATAAAATCTTTCTGTTTCATCTGAAACATGCTCTGATATTATGAGGCATATTCTGTGATCTGAGCACATCAGATGAGAAGAGTCATTAACTGTCAATAAGTGTGATAGTTATCATGTAATCATTTACCTTAATGTCAATACATTACATAATATGCATTGTATTTAACAGCAGATATTAGCACAGGCACATATACACAGGTTTAATGACCCCAATTAGATGAAATATGAGCTGGGATGAAAGATCTTAAAAATCCTCAATTTTGGGCTCTCCTGGATCGCCAAATCAAGCTCATTATATCATGGCATCTCAGGGCTGAGAAGAAATGAGATGACATGGTTTATCATGATGGAACACCTCCATAAGTGGAACATTTTTCAAAAGGGACCTCTGTAGGTGGAACACCTCCCAAGTGGAACACTTAAAGTGCTTCCAAAGATCTTCACTTACAAAGGGTTTACTGTACTGGTGAGGGTGTCAATTACAAGTCCACATTGAATATTTATTTTTAGACATAAACAATAAGAGATTCTTCATCTGAATTCCCTGATATGTGAAACTTCCTTGATATGTGAAACATAATAACGCAATTCAGTGAATGATTCATAAGAACAAAGCATGAATTGGATTATGCATCAGAATAAGTACGAGTAATTACTTAATCCGTTGCACGAAACGACTTTGAATCATCCAGGACCACATCACTAGATATTGTTTATTGCCGAAATCGGCTATACAGATATAGGATTGAAGAAATTAACTTTTTATATTATTGTTTTGCTCTTCTAATTACAGACAATAGTCCGGGTAATTAGTTATTGGATTGAGACTTAATGTGCCCCCCCCCCTCTTTCAAGAGGGGTTTTCCCCAGATCGTGTTTATCCCAGACATAAAATAAAAATCTAACTTCCAAATAAATAAACATGATCCATTAATATATCTTAAACATGGGTCAGTATCATTTGATGATGTAGCAATGGCATGACGAGTTTTTAAATCAAACTAATCATGAACACATCATTTTCGCATCACTCTCATTGGTCACTTTCGTCAATATTTTTTTCGATCTTAAACACTCACAAAGGAAGAAAATATTGTTAATCGGAATTATAAAGAAAATCCTACGAGGTTTCTTTTTCACTCCTCCAGTCTCTATTTGTTTTAAAAATAGAATTTTGTAATTTTGGTATAAAATGTGGTATTCTCAAGAAAAATTATCATTCTTTGCTAGAAGAATAAATAAATAACAAACAGATTGTTACGGCAGATTACAGGTTATAAAGAAAATGATCAAACTTGTATTATTTGCATTAGGTAAGAATTTTTTTTGCATATAGCAAACTTAATTTTTGTAAAACAATTAATCAAATTGCTTTAATTAGTATATTGTTAAATGTAGATCAATTTCAATGATATGTCCACAAATATAATCAGTTTATGATTTTCGTAATTGCTAACCTTTTATTCAATTTCGATGTTAACAGCCCCCCTGGTAGGACTGATTGTACAAATAATGGGGGCACCTGTAATACAAATTCAAGTCTCACCAACTACAAATCTTGACATTAGAAGTCCTAACATCACAAATGCCACAATAAGTTTTGTAACCACAAACCCTAATGCCAGTACAAATGCTGCACGTCTAAACGCTGCCAATATTGACGCCACGAGTACTATCGTCACAAATAACATGAGGAATTTTGACACCGCAAATCCTAACGTCAGTATTAGTACAAATTCTACGAGTTCAAACGCCACCAGTCGTGACGCCACAAGTCCTAACGTCACAAACGACAAAGTAAGTTTTGACATCACAAGTTCTAAACCCAGTAGAAGTACTAATTCTACGAGTCCGACAGTCACAAATTCTGACACTACAAGTCCCAACGTTACAGATGACTCAATGAGTTTTGACACCAAAAACCCTAACGTCAGTAAAGGTACTAACGATACAAGTTCAAACGCCACAAATCTTGACACCACAAGTCTTAACGTCACAAATAACATAGTAAATTTTGACACTACAAGTCCTAACGTCAATTTTCACAATATGACTTTTAATGATACACGTACTAACTCCACGAGTCAAGGCGTTGCAAATCCAAGTATTGAAACTCCAAGTTCTAATGACATTCATCACACTAGAAGATTTTCAGCAAGTCTAGAAACCTCAAGTTCAAAATCCACGAGACTTGAAACAAGTTCTATCGCCACAAGTATTACAACGCGACTGCAAACCACACGTCCTATTACAACAAGGCTTGACACCCTAAGCACTAGAACCTCAAGACTTGATACCACGAACACTAGAACCATAAGGCTTGACACCACGAGTTCTAGTACCACAAGGTTTGACACCCCAAGTTCTAGAACCACAAGGCTTGGCGCCACAAACACAAGAACCACAAGGCTTGACACCACTGGCACTGTTACACCAAGCATGCAGAAGAGCGAGAAAAGCAGTCTCGAATGGGATAGAATGAGAGAACTGAACACTCCATCTTACAAGAACACGTATGCGGTGATAGCACAGCAAGCACACAACATCGCACACAATATCTCACAAGTCATGAAACAATATGTAAGTTATTCTTTATTAACATTGATCTTTCAAAATTTATCGTTCTTTTTTTCTCGAATGTCTGAATTTGGAGTATATAAAAACTTTTGTTGATATCGGTTTCCGTCATTTAATAGCTACACCATGGAGTATAAAATAGAGAATTCAGCACATTTACAGATCTACAGTCCATTTATAATTCTAAATTGTAAACCTTACGATCCGTCCAAGAATGAGGAATCCCTGTACATTTTACTTTTTGTGTATGAGCCAAGGTAGCATTCGCAAATTCAACAGCCAGTTGAAGACTGACGGTTTAGCTTATTTTATGGCTAATTCATTTAGTTATGAATGGAATAGTTCCAGGTACTATTTAAATCTAAATGAGTTGCCCATGAAATAGTAAGTTGCTTCGTCAGCCGTCAGTAGAATTCGGGAATGGTACCTAAATCTTTTCTTTTTGACTATCGTTAATATTAGCCTTTTATTAATAGTTACTGTGAGTAGTAAGTGTACACAATTAGTGTACAAAAGACTGAAATGTGCCAATCCAAGTATATTACCATTGTATTGTTTTCCAGAGAAATATGAACATGCTATCAAAGTATTCTATAACAAAGATAGAAAATGCCAATTGTTGCCAGTACCTGCCATTTATTTCAACGGCTGATATTCCCAATGATAATGTAAGTAAAGCATATATATTGAGGCGATTGCATGAAAAAGAAAGTTCCTATGATTTGTAGGTATTCGTTTTTATGTTCAAATGCTTGACAGATTCTCTCTCACTGTGTTTTTTCGATTTGATATACAGTATGTTGATTGAACATCATTTGAAATAGAAATATATGACATTATAGTGCGACTTGATTTACTCTCTCACAATTTTACGTGAACTTTTATTGCATTACGATTTTATTGCATAACGATTCCATTGTTTATTTGGTTTGTTTGTTTGTTTGTTTGTTTGTTTGTTTGTTTGGGGTAATATGCGAACTCCCATGGCAAGGCATTCTGATACTCATAGCATCTTTCTGTTTCACCCGAAACATCTCAGGGCTGAGAAGAAATGAGATGACATGGTTTATCATGATGATGGCAAGGTAATATTGAAACAAGATCAATATATGTCACGATGTGAAAGCTCAAATATCCTTTGTAAAAATCTAGATATACCATAATATAGCGTACATCGTGATGTAAACCATAACCTATCACTTCTCAGCCATGAGATGATGACATCATATGACTAATGAAACAGAAAAATGCGATGAGAATAAAGAATGATAACTTGGTATTTATTTGAAAAACTAAAAGGTTACATGTTTTTGTTCAGTAGTTAACGATTCTTATCATTTATGGTCTCTTCTTCCAGGCTACAATAGCAGTGATGGAGACATTCACCCTTCTACAGAACATCGCTTCATTTATAAACCTCATAAAGGCTGAGATGCGATTTGTTTATCAGGAAGAATTGCAGCACATTCAAAACCGTCTCCATCGTTTGATTAATGAGGTTCGCTTTGCAGTTTACGAACATCACGTCACAAATGCTGATATGGACATGATGGGTGGATATATGGAGCGCATTAGTCTTGATGACGTTTCAACAATACAGCGTTTCAAACGGGACTATAAGATATTACATGAATCTATGGAACACATGGCGTCTATTGAAAAACTGTTCAAGCATCTAATGAAAAGAAGAGGAAAACGCGCGGAACAGAAAAGTGGGCAATATTCGAGTGATGTTTAAACACCATTGACTTCATCTTCAGATTGATTTTAGACTTATTCACAGTTAGTGGATAGCTTTGGACACTGTAACATTAGTATAGGTCTCCTAAGTATATGTGAATCACATACATATAGTATGATAGCTTTTATCACATTGTATCATGCACAATTGTAACATTTTATATAATCATGGGCTCTCAAAAGTTGAAAGCCAATGGTATAATCGTGGGCTTCTCTTGAAAGCCCATGGTAAAATGGAATCCGTTTGTTAATTCCAATGCATCAAATGTCTATATTTGTATTAGTATATCAGATACAGTTTACCGCATATCTAAGTATTTATATATCAGCTGCGTTTTATCATGGTAGTATTATTAATATATCAGCTGCGTTTTGTCATGTCATAGTATAATTGATATATCAGCTGCGTTTTGTCATGTCATAGTATAATTGATATATCGGCTGCGTTTTATCATGTCATATTAAGAATATATCAGCTGCATTTTATCATTGCCTTAGTTGGGATATCAGGTCCGGTTTAACATATATATCTAATCGTACTATTTTAACAATTAGATATAAGATAAAAGTTTAATCATAGTGATTATTATACCATACTACTATATGCAACTATTTCATTATGGGATTACGATAGACAGTGTTATACATTGTTTTGTGAGGGACAATTATGCAATCATATGTATATATATCATTTAATTTGTGATTTACAGCAGGCTTTCACAAGAAACGTGTTTAATAAGAATTTCATTTTCTATTTCATTGTGATGTATATAAGGATCCCCAGGACAAATATTTATTTCTTAGGTCTTATACATTTTAATGTACAAATTGATGGTTGGTTTATAATAATCATTCTATTTATATAGACGTATTGGCGTTTTATATTATTATAAATTATAAAACTGAAATCATATATTATAGCCTAAATATTATGTCATTTATACATAAATCGGATTTGTTTGAACATAATCAACCTGTTGCAAGATGGCATGAGACGACAGTGCAATTGGTGTCGATCATGGTGTAAGAATTTATTCCTTATCAATTTATTGCAATCACTTCTAGATCAAGGGAAGCATGGCACTGTTCATTTTGAAGTTCTCATGTAATAACACAGAGTTGCATACCCTTCTATTGAATGCCCATGTAGTGACAAATGAGACATAGGCTTGACAATGGAATAAATAAATGATAAAAATAGTTCATTGGTCTCTTGAAAACAATCAATTTCCATCGATGAATCACCCAATAAAGCGAACAATTGATAAAACAAAAATAAAAAATATGTATAATATACAAATTACAATGGCATGTATTACAATTTACATCACTGGAAAATCTACAGGTGCTCTGAATTCAAGAATAAAATGCCAGTCTTCGCATCAATTTTACAAAACAGGTCTTTTGCAATTCCGTGAAATTTTGTCACCAATTACTTCATCCATATTGTTTATTATTGTTGTCATGTGCAATTAAAGGGTATAAAAACAAACTCTTCGTGTCCAAGATACCCGAGCCAAGATAGAGAAGCCCCAGTAGCCTAAGAGAGTACGGATCATGTAAACTGTTCGTTTTAATGGGGGGGGGGTGTATAGAGATATTGTATATCGTATAAGAGGCTGAAAATTTATTGTATATTGTATAAGAGGGGGAAAAATTTATCGTATATGGTATAAGAGCTGTAAAAAATATGGTATATGGTATAATAGAAAATATATGGTATATGGTATCTAGAATTAAAAAAGGCTAATTATGAAGAAAGTGCACCCTAAAGTTCCCCATTGTGCCAACTCTCTTACTGTAACCGTGTTGGAAAAACATGGAAAAGTAGTCTCTCTAATTGGTTCCACATTCCAGGTCAATCAATACTGTAAGTTTAGAAACAATCCTTCTCAAACTAAGAGTTTTGTGCCCTTTTCATTCAAATTTTCACAGGAGGTGTTAAATATAGTCTCAAATAAGAATCACGCCGGATGATCAGAAGAAATGAACGGAGGGGGGGGGGGTAGATCTAGCTGATTTTTGGTAGAAAATTCAACAAATCTTGAAGATTTATTTTTTCAAGAGAAAGTTTACAATTGAATGGCTAAATGAATAGACGCAGTGGACGGGGGAATACGAGTGGTGATCCAAAACTCTTGGAAGCCCTGCTCTAATTTTGTTGGTTTTTGATAAAATTACTTTGAACTTTCCAATAATAAAGACCAACAACCTAACTACTTTGTGTATTAATTTCATGGTGAAATGATATATTTTATGTAGTTTTCTCAATAGTTATTAATTTAGCGACCCTGCCACCCGGAACGGTATTCGCACATGACAACTTTCAGCCTTAAATGTTGCCGCTTTTTGACTTGTTTTGCAAGTCTTGACCACTATCTTTTCTTAAATTTTGAATGTTAAACCATGTTAGTTTACTTCCTTTGTTACTCGGCAACCAATTAATTGTGTTTTAATCATAATGTCACATATGACAATGGCCATATATGTCAAGTTCTAAGAAAATGACATCAGACAATCAACCCACATTCTGGTATCATTTTTGCTCCAAGATGGCTGCTGAAATGCAGAACATGAAAGAAATCAAAGTGAAACAAAGAATACTACAATATATTTTCACTATTATTGACCTTGAGCAACTACCATAGGCACGTTACAGTCTAGATATGGCTCCGTGTGATTTTCTTTCTTTTCTCCAAGTTGAAAGGAGGGTTGAAAGAAAATGTTTTACTCATTGGATGAGGTTAAGAGTGGCACTCCAGCAGCATTTGTATCACATAAACAATGGCGGTTTCATAAATATCTTTCATTCATTGGTAAAGCGGTATGAAAAATGTGTTCAAATTCGTGGAAAATATGTTGAAAAGTAGGTCTTAATATGTGAGGATGATGGCAGATGACACTCAGATTGAAAATTGGAAAATCTCTCATATCATGACTGGTGTTAGGTTGTGCACCTGAACCTAAAGTATTTGCCATATTATAACAGTTGTGACAAGATTTCTTATAATTAAATACCGTTCCGGGTAGCAAGGACCCGGTATCAAAAAATATTTAGAAAAATAAGTAAAATATATAATTTTCGCTTCCTAGTCAACTCGTACCCAAGACAACTCGTACCCAAGACAACTTGTACCCAAGACAACTCGTACCCAAGTCAACTGGTACCCAAGACAACTCGTACCCACGTTTATTTTCTGTATTATGGGTGCATATAAGAAAACAAATTGAGTCTGTGTCAAAATGTTTAATGTTATAATGTGCCTCAATATTTTTTTCTGAATTTAGAAGACATTTTTTCTCAATGGATTAAGCAAAGCATTTTGTTTTTACTTGGATTACCTTTGAAGTGCTATGAAGGGCTTGTTCTCTACTTTTTTGTAATACATATATATAAATGAATATAATTACAACAGTAACTTTTCAACAAATGAATCAAACAATTAATTTAGCTTAGTGCATTCAGAGAAAATTAATAAGGGAACTTTAATCTGTTAATTTCTTTTCCATTTTGAACTTAATTGCATTATATTTGAACACATGCATGCAAAGTGTATTATATCATGTATGAATAAGTATCAACATAATATTTGATATTCATATTATTTATAATATTTTTTATTGCTTAATTTTATGAAAGTGACTTCTTAGAATTATCATTCTTTAATCTGATAATATGAAATCCTAAATAGATTATCTGTTTAATAAGAAATAGGCCCAAGTTTTGAAAATCTTTATATTTTTGATAATACCATATTTCAAGATGAATTAGATCTGATACTTGTTCCACACACTCATTAACATACAAAAATACCACTAATATTGTGAACAATGATTATGAATATGTGGAATAAACATAAATCTCTTCCCTCGAACATCTGAATCTGTGACCAATATATTTGGTCACAAATTTCAATCGATTTCTTTCAAAAACTCTTCTACATACTTCAAACTATTCTGAACTGTATGTAACCATTATAATATGTAT